CGACCGAACTGCAAGAACAATGCTCGCCATCCATGTTGGAACGGCGTATGATTCGGGGCCAATTTATATGGGAATTGCAGCTACATAGTAGGATCATAAGGGGAATTCCTTAATTGATTTAGGCTCCCTAAACCATAAAAACCCTAAACCCCAAACCCCTGCAAGAATGCACTCAAAGGTACCCCCCCCCCCCCCCAAGAACGTCACTTCCACTCTGCGGCTGTGGCGCCTCACATCGAATCCAAAACCACTCCTGAACGTCCAAGAAAGGGGTTTGGGGTTTTAGGGTTTAGAGTTTAGGGTTTCTGAAGCACACTTCTGGGTTTATGGCTTTGGGTTCAGGCCTTAGGATTGTCGCCAATACTGGAGTTGCATCGAAGAATCTGCGTATGTGTGACAACCATTTCCCCCACATACGCCTGTTTGGAATCCCCTTTGGCTTAGCAAGTAGGGTTAGTAAGGTGGGTTCTGGGATTCGATGAGGGTTTCTAGGGGATACTAAGTAGACTTACTAAGTCGAAAGAGCTTCCAAGTAAAGCAACAGCATGCGAGGGCTCCGCCAAACCTACCAGCTGCTTCAACCCTGCTACAGCAGCGACCGCGACTGCCCCAACGGGCGCAATATTGGCGACACCATCACCACTGCCCGACTTCCATTCTTTCATGGCAACTGTAAGCCCAAGCTGCTGCAGTGGCCATGGTGCAACTATTCCTCTTCCGAGGACAAAGTCGTAAAGGCAAACCCTGAACTACGACCTCCTAAATGCGGTGTCTTGCACAAACTTATAAAATAGGGTATCAACTGTAAGCTTGCTCCAGGGGCAAGTCTCATGCAGCATGATGGTCGTCGCTGCCGGTCTCCAAACGGGGTCGACAGTCAAACATTGCCGCAGAACTGACTTGCCTCAGCGCTTGTTCAACACAATCAACACTCAATCAACACTTCAGATCCATGCATTGTTATCAAGTTGCAAACCCCGTACGCCCCACATCCAGCATGGTCGCACTGCTTCTACTGTGTTTCTGCAAGCCCGGGCGCGTCGTCACTCATTGAACCCAAGGGTCCATGTATCTAGTGTTTTTATGATATACGCCTTGGCCTTACACGGCCTTACAGGGGTTATGATGTAGACCGGAGCCTTGCATGATTCCCCGTGTAGCTTTCGAGCCCCGGTATCTACTATGTCATGTAGGTAAACGAACCCTGAGGGTCACACGCTTCAAGGATTTTTGGCACTCTCAACTCCAACAAGGATCTGGAGTATGTCATACAAGAAGCCCCATCGTTAAACCCTAACTTAAACCGAGGTGGCTCACCCCAAAGTCCGACCCCATGGGCATCCTCTTGAGACAGGTCGCATGGCTCTGACAGAGGAAGGCACCTCAGTTTAGGGTTTAGGATTTAGAGTTTAGGGTTTCACAAAACCTAAAGGGGGGCGATACCATGGGGGGGGAGAGGGCAGGGGGGCGGGGGGGGGGGGGGGGGGGGGGGGGGGGGGGGGGGGGGGGGGAAATGCCCATGCTGACCCCCGCGCCCCGTGTCCTTTCTTTCTAGCGGGTGAACAACAGGCGGGAGCGTGAATGCTGACGCAGATCGAGGCTTCTTTCGGGGGCGGCTCACTTTCCCTTCAGCTAGCCATGCCAAGCATTGAGATCCCCGAGCACACCCGAGTCGCTAGCCGGCACAGTTACAAGCAGCTACTGCAGCCTTCCCTTCTCTGAATAGTATTGCCCCTACTTAAAGGTTCATGGTATTTACTAACCAATTATAACTGGGCTTATAACCCTACTTATAATTGGGATAACCCCTATAAGGCCCTTTAGGGGTATTATAAGTAGGGTTAGTAAGTACCATGAACCTTCAAGTAGACCAAAAACCCTACGCCCCGAAACGATGCGGGCCGAGTGCTTGGAGCTTGTGACCCGAAGTGCTGGAGGAGTCGTGTAGATGTTCTCATTGCGGTTCTCAGTCGGGAGAAACCTCGTGGGGCTTCGTAGGTGTAGAGGGACTATATGAGTTATATAAAGGGGTTATATAGGGGAAGAAGATTATGACTCCCTTCTAGGTGTCCCTCCTTTTAAAGGGTTTAGGGTGGTTTAGTGTGTTGTCCAAATCCGACCCTTCGCTGCTCATCGTGTGAAAGGTGTGCGCACGCAGGACACCCACATCACAGGCAACTACTTGGAGGTTCACGGGTACCTATAACCCCAATTACAAAGTTTAGGGCTCATGGTTCAGGATTTAGGGTTACATGATGGCCCCAATTCCAATTGGAAGTCTACTTCTAATCTACTTAGAGGACTGAGGGGGCTTACAAGTGCAGTTCGAATTGGGGTTATATAAGTACCCTGAACCTCCAAGTAGGCAGGGCTTTTGTGTGCTTGCTTGTCAACGCAGACCTAAGTATCTAGGTTGCCCAGTAACCTAGGGTAAATAAGGGTGCTCTTTTTTTGCTTGAAGAGGGTTTCAGGGAACCTAAACACCCCCAAAAGGCAATAAGATACTACTGGGCATCCTAAGTACTTGAATATTGGGTGCCCCCCCCCCCCCCCCGCACCCCCACCCTTGCACCCCCCCCCCCCCCCCCCCCCCCCCAGGGTTTAGGGTTTAGTGTAAAACCTCAACCCTGAAGTCCCCCCGCCCCAAAAAAAAAACAAAACACAACAACGTGTGATACACCATCGATCCCACCTAGAGGGCAGAAAAAAAGACCCCGAAGCCCTCTGAAGACAGCCCAGCATCTTCCACGGCAGCCGACCGGCGAGCATAAAGTAGACGCAAAGCCCACAGCCCCACACCTCCGGCATGATCCAGGGTCGATTTTTGGGTCATGCACTCCCAAAAATCTCAATATGGCATGTAATGTACTTGGGCCCTAAAGCTAGCGTAGGTACCCCTTAAAGGCCCAAGTATGTGTACTATATAGGTCCATGGACGCGGTTGCAACGACCCCAAACCCTAAACCCTAAACCCTAAACCCTAAACCCAAAACCCCTCTTTTTGTTTGTTCCGTGTCTGAAGGCCGGGCGACGTCATTGGCTTCATTGGGTGGCTCGCCGTCCAGCACTTCAGGTGCACAGTACAGCCGCGTCCCAGTCAGCGTCAAGGCTCCTCACGCAGCCAGGGTTTAGGGTTTAGGGTTTAGGGGGTTTAGGGGGTTTAGGGTTTTTTTCACTCCTGCACAGCTGGGGCGAATCCACATCGGTTTAGGGTTTAGGGTTCAGGGTTCAGGGTTTAGGGTTGAGGGTTTAGGGAATCTTAAGGGGTTGTAGGGTGTAGGGTTTAGGGTAGTTCCATGGTCCCTTGGTATGGGCCCTTAAGTGGGGAACCCTAATATGCCTAAAATGCCCCATAAAACCAAAGAGCCCCATACTTCAGGGTATAACCCTAAACCCTAAACCCTAAGAATTTAGGGTATTTAGGGTATTCTGGGACATTTGGGATGTTGGGGCTGGATCTACATTGCGGGCTTTACTATTTGTGGTTGCCACATCTTGCCAACTGCTGTACGGGCCTCATACCCCATACGGAATATACCTGGATCATATTGAGGATCCCTAAGTCTTCATTTTTTACTCCTGACGCGGTATTGGGGTTTAGGGTTTAGGGTTTGGGGTTTGGGGAGGGTTGGGGGGGGGGGTGGGGGGTAAGGTATATGAACCACATAAACCCTTTTAGTGCCCATATGCCCCCCCCTCCCGGAGAAAATTTGGGTGCTCTTGGCATTTTGGCACGCGCGCGGCCCCCAGTCCCAGGACTACGCTGCTTCTGTTCATGGACCCTAACCCTAAACCCTAAACCCTAAACCCTAAACCCTAAACCCTAAACCCTACCCCCTCGGACCCCCAAGGTTGCACCCTTGGGTTTGGGTGTCCGTTTTTAAAGATCCTCAAAGGTGCCGACTTGCTCCTTTAAAAAAGCTTGTTCAATGGCTTCCATCAGCAGTACTTGCTTAGAACACACCCCCCCCCCCACCCCCAAAAAAGGCTAATGCAAAAAACATTTTCCTTGGGCAATATGGGGATGATTATCTTTTATTGTTGAGGTGTGGGGGTTCTCAAGCAAATGGTAGATCAGGGGCCCGCTGCAATCATGCCAATTGAGACAAAGATGGCGCCCTAAACCCTAAACCCTAAACCCTAAACCCTAAACCCTAAACCCTAAACCCTAAACCCTAAACCCTGATCTTCTAATATTCGGCGGGCGGCAGGGCGGAGGCCGCAAGGGGGGTGGGGGGGGGGGGGAGGGCATGGAAGTCTAGAGCGGACCGACAAAACTCCGAATTAGCTCCGCCCGAACCGTGTTCCGAAGCCATACCGTGAATCGACTGTACGTCAACTTCAAGACACGGCGTTGGCGCAGCAAAAAGGAGGCTTACCCTCTGCAGACGCTTTAGAACTGTCTTTGCAAACCCGCATTATAGATGAGATTATCTTGTACCGGGGTTTCTTCATAAGATATTCTGCCAAGCGTCTCTTCCCACACAAACTTCTTTGCATGGTGTATCCAAGTTTGCCGGGGCTTCCCAACTCGAACCGTGTAGCATCTGAAACTAAATGAAAGTACCCATCTTACGATGATTGCTGACAATCTATATAAGTATAGATCTAAATACAAGTAAATAATATAGACTATGTGTGTATAAATATAAATATAAATATAAATACAAATAAATAAATAAATAAATAAATAAATAATAATATATATATATCTATATATATATATATACAGAAGGGCCCGCCATGGGGCCTGCGTTTTTACATACCATATTTGCGTGTAAAACTCCTTCGCCTGTGCTTGTGCTTGCGGGTTTCGTAGTTCTCATGGCAGGCCCTTTTACACAGCATCATTTTTGCTAAGGCTTATCAGATGAAGAAGCCAAGATATGCCAAGATGTTTGGAAGTTGTAAAAAAAACGCGAAGTTGTAAACACGCACCGTGTTTATAACGCGGCTGGGTCTTTACAAACATGTCAATCCTTGTTCGGGGGTGTGGGGGGGGGGGGCAGAAGTATATATCGGGATATAACTCATTCCCTTTCAAGAACGAGAAAGCTGTTCTGTTACGGTCAATAAGTTTCACTATAAAGCAAGGCCGCAGTCACACACACACACACACGAAATTTGAGAACATGCTTCCATGATTTTGCAGAGCACGTTCAGCACTTGCATGGTCCGTTCGCAGCATGATGTCATGGGATCGTTGCTGAGGAAGTCTTTCGTACTACCGCCGCTCCCATTGCCCTCAACCTTATAAACCCTAACCCGAAACTTTGCCCTAAACCCTAAACCCTAAACCCTAAATCCCTAAACCCTAAACCCTAAACATCCCCCAGGGCCCGCGAGTCTTCCCCTGGATCCATGTACCTATATGGTATATACTTGGGTCCTAAAGCTAGTAGGAGGGGCCCCCTTACTATACTAACGATAGTTAAGGGACTTACAACCTAATTTAGGGTCCTTATAACTCTGCTTGTAACTGGGGGGAGGGGGGGGGGCCTCCTTGTAGTAGCGTAGGGTTTGTGGTTTAGGGTTGTATATACTTGGGCCCTGAAGCTACTATGTAGGAACCCCTTCAGGGCCCAGGTATCGATTATATGGGTACATGGATCCTTCGGGTATATTTTGATGGTTTTGGTCCGCTGTTTGCGCAAGAGCTCCAAATTTCGAGGGGCGGCCGCCCAACGGATGTGTGACAGAGGGTGATGATCCACTTTATAGTATGCTGCATACTACTGCTATTACGCAAAGTAAGTACCACATATTGTAATACCCGGGAAGGCTCAACATATTGCTTGCCAACATGTTCATGGTCAGCTACCCGAAAGTCATATTGAAAAGTGTTGGCCCTAAACCCTAAACCCTAAAGGGAAGATCCAAAAAGAAGAAGCCCCAACTAGTCCCCCCTTCTACTACTAGGCTATGTTTAGGAAGCCTTAAAGGGATCTACGGTTTGGATCCTCCCAAAGGTCTGGGTTACTGGCTAGTTTTTAGTAGGGAATGAGGGAATGAGGTACCCTATAAAATCCCGTAAAGGGTATATATCGTGTCCTAATTCCCTCATTCCCTACTTAGAACCAGGGGGCAGTAGTTGAGGAGGCCACAGTACCCCTTAAGTAAGGAATACTCCTTAAATCATATCAAGGAGCCCTGTATAGTTTGAGGTAGTTTCCTTCAATTAGGGTTTAGGGTTTAGGGTTTAGGGTTTAGGGTTTAGGGTTTAGGATTTAGGGTTTAGGGTTTAGGGTTTAGGCCCTCTGAGTACTCCGTGCCTCCTTCTGTCAGGCGCTTCGCGACGTTGAAATCTAAGAGTCGCAGATCCGACAAGTCGGCCTGAGACAGGTGGCGAGCGCGGAACTCGGAGAGTTAGGGTTTAGGGTTTAGGGTTTAGGGTTTAGGGTTTAGACTCTAAACCTCAGCACATGACCAATGTCAGAAACATCATGACCCATTGAAGCCTTGTCAAACTCTAATTCATCGCACTGTACATGTTTTCAGTTCCTTGTGCAAAGCCAATCAGCCAAAAACCCCTTCCTGTGCTTGACTGCCCATTTTACCCTGGCCATGTCGTGATCTAAGAGCTAGTCCCCAGAACTCAGGACATAGGTTGTTGAGCGGATTGGTTTCGAGTTGGGATGTTCCCGCTGAATCCCTGCAGCAGGGCTCAAGTGCAAATTTCCTGCCCCCAGGAAACACGACACTGACTCTATTAGGGTTCAGGGTTCAGGGTTTAGGGTTTCGGGTTTAGGGTTGGGGTTTAGGGTTTAGGGACCCAAAACAAACCTGGGAATGAACAGGCTGCCCTTTTTGGGTTTCAAGGGGCTTATAAGGGAACCTAGACCCCAACAGAAAGGGAATGAGGGCCTACTTCGCGTCCTAGCACTGTGTGCAGCAGGAGGCACGGAAACAACCACGTTTGACGGCTTCACATCGCGGTGGATGATCCGTCGAAGATGCAAGTAGCCTGAACCCGTAAACCCATACAAACCCTACAAACCGTATAAAGGAGAGGGGGGGGGGGATTTCCGTTTACATGAGATGAAGGCTTCTCGACCCTTTCACCGGTTACAAGCACCGACAGAATCTTTACCTAGTTCAAGAACCTCTGCCAAGAAAAGGAGGTATCCACCCTCCCAAACCCTAAGCCCTTCCTTCAAGACCACATGGCCAAAGGGAGGCAGGGTTAAGAGACCCTGACCCCTAAACCCTGAACCCTAATTCAGAGGCGCAGACTCGTGTCGGGTTAGGGTTTGACTTTCCTTTTGCAGCAGGCTTGGAAGGATACGCCCGGACATGTTCAGGCCATGCAGTTTAAGTTTCACACAGCAGGAGGTCCCAAGGCCTCCAGCTTCTGAACCCATCTACCACTGACTTCACTGCACATGACATCCCTAAACCCTAAAGCCTCAACCCTAAACCCTAAACCCTAAACCCTAAACCCACAAGGTAGTAATTTCGGTCCAGTCACACACAGCCGAGAGCAGCGCTTTAAACAACTGGCGCGCCTTCAGCTCCTGCTCCCCGAGAGAGAGAGCGAGAGAGAGAGAGAGAGAGAGAGAGAGCCCAAAGCCCTTGAATTAAGGAGGGTTTAGGGTTTAGCGTTTAGGGCTTAGAATATTGCTGACCCCTAGATAGTTTTTTTTGCCCCCCAGGAGCCCAATACCCCTTAATAAAGGAATATACCTTAATCTATACGAGGATGACTATACCCTAAACCCTTTAAGGTATATATGCCTTTATAAAGGGGTATTGGCCTCTTTGCGTCTCTTGGGTCTTGTCTCGGGAAATATCTCTACTGGCTAACGCAGCATTTATCGTGTTTTGATGGTGGTGAATTAGGGATTACGGAGTAGGGTTTTGGGGTTTAGGGCAGAAACCCTAAACCCTAAACCCTAACAGGATCGAGGGTAGGTGTGGGGCAAGCCTTAAAGGACACCTGACGTGATCTCGGCATGAAGAATCTCAGACTGAACCTGGCAATCGCACAAACCTGACGTCTGTCCTCAACCCTGAGATAGTTAGGGTTTAGGGTTTTAGAGTTTTTGGGGTTTAGTTTAGGGTTTAGGGTTTAGGGTTTGCGTGATGCTACAGCTGGGTGTAGTTCGCACACCCATGTGGGGCAAGTTTGCGCAACAACTAAGAAATGCAAACCCTGAGCCATGTATGTGTCCTGCCCAGAGAGCCCAATACTCCTTAATTAAGGAATGTACCTTAAATTGTAAAGGGATCCTTAATATTATGATTTAAGGAATATTCCTTAATTAAGGGGTGTTGGGCTCTTTGGGTGAATATCTCCTGAAGCCATGTATCCTTGCAAGGTGCGTCGTTCTTCCGGGGTGCCTGCATCCTCTTCCGGAAAGCAATGGACACCCACCCAGACGTCAAACGAAAAACCTGAACCTTCCCCACAAAAGCCCACAAAATCCCACAAAAACTCTGAGACCTGAAACCGGTCAAGTCGAAACAGGTCGCAAGGACCATGGCGACCCCAAGCCCAACACCCAACCCTTTCCCCCCCCTTTCCCCCCCCTGCCCCCCCCCCCCCCCTCCCCCCCCCCCCCCTCGGCAACTTCTCCGGCAGGCGCGAGCCAGCGAGCTTGGGCACAGCCTCCTGTTTTTGGGGGTTCATGGGTGCTTATGCCCAGGGAGTTTCAGTGAGATTAACTTGGTGATAACCTTGCCCGGGTACTTATAATCCTACATATAGGTATCCATGAACCTTCAAGTGTTCCCCCGCAAGCAGATGGTGAATGGTGAGGACATTTTGCTTAAAGACCAGTCCAAACACGACTATGCAAACACATGGAAGGAAAACATATGCGTAGTTATGCACGCATAGCACGAGGTACAGCGAGAGCGAGCGCCAGAGAGAGAGAGAGAGAGAGAGGGAGACAGCGAGTGCATGTGAGTGTCAGAGACCTGCCTTGACAATACATGCGTGCCTTAGCCTTGGCATGGTCAGCCGCAGCCGAGTTACGCAAGGGTTCAGGCGTGCTTGTGACCCAGACCCCTAGGAGTAGAACCAAAAATGCTGCCCTACACTACTATTCGGTTATTCTCAGGAACCCTGACAGGGATCTGCTTTTGGATCCTCTCAGGGGTCTGGCGAGTTAGGGAAGTTCAGACTCAACTTGCAACCTGTATCTCGACCTCTCACATAACACCAACGCAGCCTTCGAATGGAAGGGTCCCTTTAATGGGGGGGATCTTATTTTTCTGGGCTTCTATGAGAAAAAATGACCCTGAACTTGTTTTTCTTGCTTAGCGCGGACTTGATCTGTGACCCTAAACCCTGAATCCTAAACCCCAAACCCTGAAAATTATCCGCATCCGCCACTTTGGTCGGTCCTCTAAGCTGCCGCCTTCAAAATACTCCAAGACCTGCCAGAGGTCCAAGATGGCTCCGGGAATGTTCCGTTGAGGGCCCCAGGGGTTGCATATGAATTTTATATAAGAACTATCTTCGTGTGTATATATATATATACTAAATCAAAGCACGCTTATTTAGAGCAAATATGTACTTAATATATCTAGATGTGTATGCACATTATACACATACATGTGCATATATATATATACATATAGATTTATACGTCTATGTGTAGATGTTGGCTGTACACTACACGCTCCAAGGACGCGCTCAATGGGTTGCTACCGAGCCCTCCCAACAAACCAATCTATTTGAGTCACTTAAAGTCTTGTTCACAGTAGCCGTGTCCAAACCCTAAACCCTAAACTTTGCGTGGTTCTTCGACAGGAGATTTCAAGGATGATAATGCCCGCAACCAGTTCGCCCTAACACCCCTTAGCCCTACCTGGACCCCCGATTGCAATTCTTTTGGGGGTGGCTCACTTCTTCTAGGTCGCCCAGTAACCTAGCATTAAAAGGGTGCCCTGGTTTTGAGTAAGGGCACTGCTGAGCATCCTAGCTTATGTATATTCTACTCATCATGTAATGAGGTACTAAAGAGGTCCTCCAGACCTATTCCCGAAGCTGCATTCGAGGGTTTGGAGATGAATACCCACAGAGCCCTCTATACCCCTCAATTCAGGAACATACCTTAAATCATCTTAACAATCCCTATACAAACAAATGGTGTTATTCCCTACTGGAGGGGCATTGGGCTCGGTGGGTAAGGCAGTTAAAAGGGTGGAAGCCCCGCACCATGATTGCGCTGACGGACGTGGTGAAAAAGTCCAGCGCGCGAATGATGTGCGGGTGCTTAATGGACCTTAAGGGGGCTTAGGGTTTACCCAGAGGCTCCAATGTAGTTCCTTTTTGGGTTAGGTAAGAGAGGATTCTAGTATACTTCCCCAAAAAGGTGCTACATAGGAGCCTTTGGGTAAGGTTTAGTGTTTGGGGCCCTTGAGGGGTTTGGAGGTTGAAAGGTTTTGACAGGCTTGTGCAGTCAAGTTGATTCGGGCCATACCCTAATGAGTCAAGCCGTCAAGGTCTTTCAAGGGCATGGGGGCATCCTTGCATTTCGATCTGCGCTTCCTTGACCGCCCCTGCCCATCTGTAAGATACTACAGGTTCCCAGTTGACACAGGGAGCTGGGACCAAAAGCGACAACGCCTGACGACTCGTGGGGGGGTAGGATTCTCCCATAAGATCCCAAAGGGAAAATCCGTCTGGTCAACTCAGGCCGAAATACCTCCCCTAAACCTTAAACCCGGAAACCCTTAAACCAAAAATCCAACACCCTAAACCCTAAACCCCAAACCCTAAACCCCAAACCCTAAACCCTAAACCCCAAATCCTAAACCCTAAACCCCTCTAGGCTCTGTTTATAAGGCCAAGGGCTGCAGCATCCGATATTCCCCCTCGGCCAAGGCAAAGGTGTCCTTGGAGCCTGGGACTTAGGGTTCTTAGGGTTCTTCGGCTTCTTAGGGCTTAGGGTTCTTAGGGCTTACGGTTCTTAGGGCTCTTAGGGCTTAGGGTTCTCAGGGCTTAGGGTTCTTAGGGCTCTTGGGCTTCTTAGGGCTTAGGGTTCTTAGGGCTTAGGGTTCTTAGGGCTTAGGGTTCTTAGGGACTTAGGGTTCTTAGGGCTTAGGGTTCTTAGGGTTCTTAGGGTTCTTAGGGTTCTTAGGGCTTAGGGCTTAGGGTGTTCCCGTGATGAATCTTCTCAACACGACCTTGGGGTTGTCAGCCCGAAAATCCACCAAAACCCTGAAGCCCACATCCGGTTGGATGGGGCTCCGGGTCTGAACTTCCAAAGGTTTGCCGAGGCTCCGGGTTTGGAGCTGGGGTTTAGGGTTAGGGTTTAGGGTTTAGGGTTTAGGGTTTAGGGTTTGGGGTTTAGGGTTTGGGGTTTAGGGATTTTTTTGGTTCACACGGGCCCAAGCAGTCGCAAGTGTGGGGGCTTACACCAGATTCCCGACCGCTTACAAGGGAAACGCTGCAAACTCGGCTGGCGCCGTGGAGGGAAACAGTTGCTTTTCCCGCCGGCCGCAGAAAACAAGACAGAGTCATCGCCGGCGGAAACCTGCTGTATGCGGGGAGCCTAACAAAGGCAAGCCAAGTCTACACTTCAAAACACAACCCCTAATCCCTAAACCCTAAACCCTAAACCCAAAACCCTAAACCCTAAACCCTAAACCCCCACGCAACAGCGGAGGTGGAAAGTGGCGGCATGGGCTCTGAGCGCTCGGCCAGCAATCTTGAGTGCAACGACGAGGCCGTCCTTCTAAAGAAAGGTGAAGACTGGAAGGGTTTAGGGTTTAGGGTTTAGGGTTTAGGGTTTAGGGTTTAGGGTTTAGGGTTTAGGGTGAAGACTGGACTCCCCTTCTCCCGAAGGATCCATGTACCTAAACGGTATAGTTGGAGGTTCACTGTACTTATAACCCACGTATATGCCCCTTAAGTGCCCTCATCTGGTTTCAAGTACAGTTGTGGGTACAGTGATAATGGATTAATAAGTACCATGAACCTCCAAGTCTACTTGGGCCCTTAAAGCTACTGTGTAGGAACCCCCTTCAAGGCCCAAGTATATACCATATAGGTACATGGATCCTTAGGGCCTAGGGTAACATCCATTAGGGCTGTTCATCTTATGTCTCCGCGAGGAAATGGGGTGATGGCATTGAGACCCTCCTAGACCCAAAAGTACCCTTCATGAGGATACCGCTGATCGCTTTATCTGGTCGTTCCCAAAGCTAGGAGTCTCAGTAATGTACCCCCAAAATCCTGAAAACTTATCAGAACCAGAATTTGTTAACGGTTCAACTGGCCTTCGAGAGAACCCCCCTAAGCCTACAACCAAAGCTCAGCATCGAAAATGTCCGGCTCCAGCTTGGAGATTTTATGGTTCAGGGTTTAGGGCTTGGGGTTTAGGGTTTGGGGTTTAGGGTTTAGGGTTACTTGGGGAGTTTCAGCCCTCAAGCTAAACGTATACGGAGGAAGTCCTGCTTCCGCACAGCCTTCTTCACAACCGCTGCGCTTCCTCTGCCAATCCTTGGGGGCTCGGGGTCAGCAGCATTCCCAAAGAGCCCATAAGATGTTACCTGAAAATTGGATTGCTGCCCTTAAGATTTAAGATTATCAAAGGTAAAAATTTTCATTCAAGGGTATTGGGCTGATTTGGGGTCGTACAACTTCAAACCCGAAACCCTATCAACCCAAATTCAAAGAAGGGATCCAGACTCAAACGGCCATCGAGACAGTGCAAAACACTCCTGGGCTTGCGTCTATCCTAGATACGAACCTACCACCAACATGCAGGTTTTGTTTTTGCCACCCGTCTAGCAATGCTCCACGGGGCAACTGAAGAGGGATTGCTGTCTACAAACTTCAGAGCCCAAATCTACGAAATGCCAAGATCCCACGCCAACCCATGCCTTCCCGCCTTAGAAAACAAAGAAGACAAACCCATATTCACAAAGATCCAAGACCCACATGCATGGCAGGAAGGGTTGGCGTGTCGTGTCGATGACGAGCCAACTTCCAGCAGGCCCGGCGTTCTCCTGTCCAAACAATGCCTCGGCCCTTGTCAGAAGCGCCCTGCAGGTTTAGGGTTTAGGGTTTAGGGTTTAGCGTTTAGGGTTTAGGGTGTAGGGTTTAGGGTTCAACAGATGTCCCTGGTCTTCCTGCCACTCCTCATGATTCGGCCCCAGGAGCTGCTCCAGCACATCGTACTTCTCCGCGGCATCGACGAAGGTTTCGGTCGTCTCCTCACTCAGCCAGGGTTCGGGGTTTCGGTTTAGGGGCCTGATAACCTATTTTTTGGGAGGAAAAAGGGGTTTAGGGTTTAGGGTTTAGGGTTTAGGGTTTAGGGTTTAGGGTTGGGATGTTCCCCCCTTATACTAACAGCTCCTTAAGAGGGATTATAGTAGGGGGGTGCTGATTCAGGACTGCTAGTATAAGTGGGAATATCCGAGGTCTAGGGCTTCATCTGCCCTGGGAATAACAGGGCCTAGGGTTCAGATTTTAGGGTGACCTAGGAGTAAAAGAGCACTCCTTTTGGCCTTATTGTGGCTTATGAGGGAACCTGAACCCTAAATGAGGAGGAGAACTTATAAGGGAACCTGAACCCTAAAAGAGGAGGGGAATAGGGGCATACCTTGGGTCCCTGTGCACTAGTTTCGGGTTTAGGGTCTGGTAAACCCTAACGTCTAAAGGTCCACATACCTCATTTTTGCAGAACAAATTGGTCCTCAAGGTCCCTGCATAGGAAGTTCTCTAAGGCCCGAGTCTTCCCTATTTAGGACCCTTAGGATATGCAGTAGGGTTTATCTTAGGGCTTGAAACAGGACACATAATATGCACACTCGTCAAATTTTGTGAGGTGAGGAGCACTCTAGTACATACACTCAAAAGCCATATGAAACCCCTCACCCATGTAAGCAAGTTCCGAGTTTAGCTTTCGTCAGAGCAGATCAAAGAACACTCATGCTGAATAAGCACTAATCGCAAAGATTAAATGCAACCATCCTCAAGAGCAAAAGCAAAACGCACAAACAGAAAACAAAATCCGCGCTCTAGTCAGGCCCGCAAGCAATGGACCCACGAAACCTAACAACGAAAGTCCAAATCCTGAACACGTGGACGCAAATCCGAATAACCCTTCGCCAGCTTACTCCAAATTAGCTCGTGCCATCAGAGCCAAGAGTCTGCGACAACCTTATCACAGTCCTCACTGCAACTCGAGGGTTTCGGTATGCGGCTACGGGTCAAATTCAGCTGATTGCGTGAAACTGCTCGCTCGTTTTGGAGACCTACGGCCTACCAAGAAGAACGTGAACGTTACAAGATCGTAGTCTCGCAGGGTGTGGCCAAAACCTGAACCAAAATCAGGTGCAAACCTGCAGGTCTTCACGATGAGGCTTCTCTTTCACACCGGTTCTTTCTAATTATGCTTAGGTGGTTTAGGCAATTCTGGGTGTAGCCGGGTTTAGCAAAACTTCAGAGCATGACTGCTGGACAGCTTCGACAGGGCCGAAGCTAACTACTGCACATAGTCATGAAGAAAAACCCTTGCAAAAGTCTTCCCACAAATAGAAGCATGCCTTAGGGGCAGAATACCCTAGCAAAAAGGTTAACTTTGCCCAAAAAGGTTATAAAGGTTAACTACCCTGCCCCTAAGATGTAGCGTGGCTTGGGGGGCGGGGGGGGGGGCCCGAAACCCAAAACCCTAAACCCGAAACCCTAAACCCTAAACCCCAGGGGGGGGGGTGGGGGTGGAATGATTCGCCTGACACCAAGCAGCCATCTTCAAAAGCTTCATCCCATGAACCTTTGCCCGCTGGTGAAGTCGGCTTGCGACGCCACCTTTTGCACCAGAGGCTTGAGCTAAGCCCGAAACCCTAGGATTTAGGGTTTAGGGTTCAGGGTAAAGCCTAAGCCCTAAACCCTAGGGTTTCGGGTTTAGGGCTCAGGGTAAAGCCTAAAGCCCTCAACGCTGAAGCAAAGGTGTCTGGGATGACTGGTGGGATAAGGGGGGGCTGCCCTCAGGCTGCCGCGCAATGGGAGATCGTTTCGCTTTTTGAGTGCCTGACGAAGCGGCCTGACTACAATGCGGAAAACCCTAAACCCTAAACCCTAAACCCTAGACCCTAGACCCTAAACCCTAAACCCTAAACCCTAAACCGTGGGCTCAGACGTAGCTTCTTTTGCCACTCTTGGAAGCGTGAGGCGGATGTATCCAGAGAGCCCAATACCCCGTAGTTAAGGACTACACGCGTTAGGGTTTTGGGTTTAGGGTTTAGGGTATACCTTAAGTCATGATAAGGATCCCTATTGCAATTTTCCTGCAAGTAACGGGTATACAGGACTCTTTGGGTGTCTGTTGAGAACAGCTGTACTTCTATGCTACTACATGCTTGAGAGCCCCCCCCCCCAAAAAAAAAAAAAAACAAAAACAACATTCTTCCTTATAAGGGCAAAAAAGGGCTTACAACTACCCTAAGCCCTGAAAGTTCAAGCGACCCTGACTGGCCTGCGCGCTGGGCTGTCCTGGCAGAACTGTCATAAGGCCCCACATTGCTCAATGTAGGTGTTGTGTATACGGTTTAGGGACTGTCCAGTGTGCCCACACATCATAACCTCTGAGCCTCTAAACCTCCAGTGTCAAATCATCCCACCTGACAGAGTTCCTTTTGAACCCAGACGCAGACAAGCTTGCTGGGACTCCTGCCAAGTCAACCCCCGAATTCAGGAAAGACCCCCAAACACTAAACCCCAAACCCTTTTTTTAAACCCTAAACCCTAAACCCTAAACTCCATCCTGAACAAAGAAACAAACACGAGAGACTCGAGTTGCTGGAGCTGCTCTGGGCATTCGGGGACTTACTTCGCAAAATGTGGGGGGGGACATGGGTGCCCTAAGACCCATCATTGGGATCGCCCAACCTCTGTCATAAGCGGGTTTAGGGTTTAGGGTTTCTGGGGTTACAACTGCTTGCTAAGCCCAATGCTCCTCCAAGCAGTCCCTCAACATGCCCCTAACCTAAACCCTAAACCCTAAACCCTAAACCCTAAACCCTAAACCCTAAACCCTAAACCCTAAACACTAACACCCACAGGGCATCGAGGGTCCTCTTAGGTGACGCCCGTCCCTGCTCATCATCGGCCAGCCCGTCCGTATCGGATCTCGTCCTCAGGAGAACCTGAGGTAGGGTTTAGGGTTTAGGGTTTAGGGTTTAGGGTTTAGGGTTTAGGGTTTAGGGTTTAGGGTTTAGGGTTTAGGGTTTAGGGTTTAGGGTTTAGGGTTTAGGGTTTCATGGTTTCCAGGTTGTCTAAGGGTTTTTTTGGGTTTAGCTAGGTTGCCCAGAAGCCTAGAAGTTAAAACAGGGTGCCATGTTTTTTTTTGCTTAGAGGGGCTGATAAGGGAGCCTAAGCCCCCCCCCCCCCCCCCCCCCAAAAAAAAAAAAAACAACCAACTGGCTGGTTCCTAGTAGGGAATGAGGGAATGAGGTACCCTGAAGAATCCCTTCAAGGGTACATATGGGGCCCTAATTCCCTCATTCCGTGATTCCCTAAACCCTAAACCCTAAACCCTAAGCCCTAAACCCTAAACCCTAAACCCTACACTAAGAACCAGGGGAGAAAAAGGGGAATAAGGTCACCACTGGGCATCCTGGGCTGCGCGGCTGCGCTTACTTCTGAAAGCTGGGGCTGTCTTTATCTTAATAGGGTCCTGAAAGGGAGGGTTTAGGGTTTAGGGTCTAGGTTTAGGGTTGAGGGTTTAGGGTTTAGAACCAAAATTTAGGGTATAGGGTTTAGGGTTTGGTCGCTCAGGGCTGAGGGTTTAGGATTGGGGGGTATCTAGGGTTGTGCCTCGGACCCGTAAGGTTGCACCCTTCCAGTTGGGAAAGAGATCTGAGGGATGCTGCCTTAGGGGTGTGAGTCGTGATCCCTCGAGGCTCGGTACCTAGCGAACCTTAGGGAAGCTTGGGGAGCCTTTTAGGGAGTTGTGGGGAGTGTTAGGGAACCTCTGCTTTCCCTTTTGAACCCCTCCAGTCCCTTAAGGACCTTATGCCTTATGACGAAGCCGAGGTTCTTCCGGCAGGCGAACTTCGGATGGTGTTTAGGGTTTAGGGTTTCTGGAGCGGTTCTGGAGTACAGCAGCAGAGAGCCCAACAACCTGAGATCATATTCAGGATCCCTCACCCTAAACCCTAAACCCTAAACCCCAAACCCTAAACCCTAAACGACAGTATATTCCGTAACTAAGGGGTGTTGGGCTCTTTGGGGGAACGTCGGGGTCGCACCTTGCTCGAGCTTGATTCGCCATGCGAGCCTGAGCGGCACATTCTTTACCTTGCCCCTACTCGAAGGTTCATGGTACTTACTAACCAATTATAACTGGGCTTATAACCCTACGTATAATTGGGATAACCCCTATAAGGCCCTTAAGGGGTATTATAAGTAGGGTTATAAGTACAGTTATAATTGGTTAGTAAGTACCATGAACCTTCAAGTAAGGGGCCACGTACCTACATGGCATGCGATGGGGCCCAAAAGCGAGGATATAGGAACCCCTTTTAGCTATACTCCCCTAAGAACCTTAATAAACATAATATGCTTAATATCCTCTTGGGTTTTTATATGAACAAAAAATCATTCCCAAAGGGGATATAGTTAAAGTCCAGTATGTAGGATGAAGGTACATGCAACTTTAGGGTGCCACATCATGACAAAGTTCTTGTGTGCTGCACTAGGCGGGCGGAAAGGAGAACGTAGCGCCAGAGCTTGCCGAAGTTCACATCATGGTTTATTATTCCCCCGAGGTTCCCCCCTCCCCCCTGACAGAAGAAAATGAAAAAAACCATAGGCTTCTAATTCTCCCGAAATAGCCTTAGTTGTGGGGGAAACCTAGGGGGGGGGGTAGTATAGAGGAGGGTAGTATGGGAACCCATGAACACAAGTGCCAAAGACTGCCGCAGTCCCTCGCAAACCCGATTTTTCTTCGCTTTGTGGGGCACCTTCCAGACTCAAGCGTGAAAATCCGTCCGCAAGCCCCGCCCCCCCCCCCCCCCCCCCGAAAACCCTAAACCCGAAACCCTATAAACCCTAAAAACGGAATCCAAGAAACAACTCAAGACACTAAGTCAAAAACCCTCAGAATAAAGTCTAAACCGCTACCGGCGACAGAACTCGCATCAAAGTTGCTCTTGGATTTGGAATTGCTCCTGGCAGAGTGGCGTCTACTAAAGACGGGTCAAAGGTTTCCTGATAGAACCCGAACCCCCAAGTACGTGTTTCAAAAGGCAAATAGCACTTGATCTTCAAACTTTGTTCACGGCGTGCCTACGAAACATGTCACAAAAAGGCCTGAAAGCCCCTGGGCGCCCCCTAAACTCTAGCCCCAAAGGACTATTTGCAGACGTAACCCCCCCCCTCCTTTTTGAATCGAGACTCTGCCTAAACCAACTGGGGCCATGCGCACACGGGCTCCAATCAATGCGCAACAAGAAGCCTATATGAAACATGAATCTTGCTATACATCCCGCCGAACCCTAAACCCTAAACCCCTTTTTTTGAGCCCTAAACCCTAAACCCTAAACCCTAAACCCTAAACCCTAAACCCTAAACCCTAAACCCTAAACCCTAAACCCTAAACCCTAAACCCTAAACCCTAAACCCTAAACCCTAAACCCTGAACCCTGAACCCTAACCCTAAACCCTAAACCCTAAACCTGAAACCCTAAACCCAAAACCCAAAACCCAGAACCCAGCCCGCCGTCATCGCTCCTGATGGGAACTGTCTCCTCGAGCTCATCGTCGGCCATCGCATCAAGGAAGGACGGGGACAGCCGAAGCGTTTTTTGTGGCGAGCTCGCCTGATTTTGCGTTGGGTTTAGGGTTTAGGGTTTAGGGTTTCGGGTTTCGGGTTTCGGGTTTCGGGCTTAGGGTTTAGGGGTTAGGGGTTAGGGTTTAGGGTTTAATACTTGCAGGTTCATGGTACTTACTAACCTTTACTAACCAATTATCACTGTACTTATAACCCACTTATAAGCCCCCTAAGTGCCCTAATATAGTTATCAGCACAGTTATAAGTACAGTCATAATTGGTTAATAAGTACCATGAATCTCCAGGTACAGTCCCTACAAGACTACCTATATGGTGGCTTCCGAGATTAGGGGCTACCTTACTCTTTTTGCGGGCCTTATGATAATTGGGGGGTCCCCTATTGTCGGAAACACCTGTAGAATCAATACTTGAGACTTGGAGGAAATCCTATATAGCAGCTGTCGGGGCCTTATAAACACATGCCACAGAGGTACGCAGGCCCCTAGGAATGGCAGAGTCCTCCGGGCTTACGTCAGAAGAAGGCGCTTATGCAAGTGCCGACGAAATTTGGTCAAACACGGAACAAGAAGCGGTGCTGTATGCTGTTCTAGCCGTCAGACCCTAAAGCTGCTCATGGAAGAGTCTGCTCGCTTGTATCTCTGCGCTCTTCGGAACACCCTCATGCACAGTAGGATTTGCATTGTTCCAGACGCCCCCTGGAGCTAGCAGTACAAACCCTAAACCCTAAACCCTAAACCCTAAACCCTAAACCCTAAACCCTAAACCCTAAACCCTAAACCCTAAACCCTAAACCCTAAACCCTAAACCCTAAACCCTAAACCCTAAACCCAACCCTCAGAAGCCAGGCATGAGAGGAGAAACACTGGACATATACACAAAGTCTCCGGTTAAACCAAGCTGCAGCCGCTCGAACCCAAGAAACCCTAAACTCGTAAACCCTAAACTTCTAGTTGCTAAAGTAACCCCCCAACAAAAATTAAAAACCTTTTCTTACGTCTAGCGCAAAATAGGCGATATCTTTTATCTTTTATTTTTTTGGGGGGGGTCCTTGTAAGCAAATAATACCTACCTTTGGAGTAGACCCTGGAAAAAAGTATATACTTTTTAGGTATAAGTAGCTATAATAGGAACCCAGAACCAAAAAAAGTATTAAAGTACAGTACTCCAAAGCCCAGAATAAGAGAAGCCCAAAGTGCGAGGGCTGCCTGAACCTCGGTATCTGCCGGCGGTAAAGGCGTGACTTGGCGGCCAATGCCACCTGCAAGCTTATGAAACGGTTTAGGGTTTAGGGTTTAGGGTTTAGTGTTTGGTTTACCCAAAGACTCCAAAGTAGTTCCTTTTTGGGTTAGTTATAGGGAATACTAGTATGCTACCCCAAAAAGGTACTACATAGGAGCCTTTGGGTAGGGGTTAGGGTTTAGGATTTGGGGTGCAGGGTTTTGGGGTTTAGGGTTCAAGGTGAAGAGGTTTGATAATGAAACCTAACCCCCAAAAAATGGGATTAAGGCACTACCGGGCATCCTAACTGATCCTGCGGCCTGCGTTATTTCAGGAGTTCGTCTCCCACGCCGGGACGAAGGAGGCATGGATTCGGGGCGGTCAGGTCAGACTAGCAAGTCGCGCGCCCACACTTGAACCAAGCCACACATGCATAATTTGGGATATAGAGGTTGAGGTTCAAAATTGTCCTGCTTCGGGATTCGTATACTATCGTAAGTTAGGAGATCTAAGGATCCATGTGCCTGTATAGTATATACTGGGCCTTATAGCTACTATATAGGACGCCCTCCCTTCAAGGCCCAAGTATATACAGAGAGGTACATGGATCCTCAGGGATACGACTTTAAGGAAGCTTTAGGGTGCGTGCTCCCTTCGGTACGGGCTGCCTCCTTTGTATGGGCCCTGCAGGGGACCTTACATGCGAGTCACCCCCCTTCCCCTGCCCCGCCCCCTTCCCCTCCCCCCCCCCTCCCCCTCGCCCCTCTCATGGTCTGTGGTTCATGGCTTTAGGGTTTAGGGTTAGGCTGTAGAGTTCAGGATTTCGCTCTCACCCAGTTTAAGGTTCAAGGTTTGGGGTAATGGTAGGTTCACGGTTTCCCCTCTCCCCCTACTGTGGTTCGTGCTGGGTTTACTCTTCAGGGTTCAGGCTTAAAACGGTTAAGGTTTCGGGTTTAACCTTCTCCCCGCTGTGGTTCATCGGGAGTGCGGGCGCATATGCGCCCCTTATATTCCCTATACAACTCAAGGGCCCATGCTTCAGGACCCTTTTGAAGGAGGTAAGGGACCATTTTTCGGGCCCATTAAATTACAGATAGAAGGCTAGGGCTCGGAGTAACCTGGCAAGAAACAGGGTGCCCCCTTTAGTTTAAAGGAGGCGGGCCTACTCTGGGTCCTAGTAGCCCTAAACCCTAAACCCTAAACCCTCAAAAAAAGGATGAGCTGTTGGGGTCGCCATTTTGGGAAATCAAAATCCCACCTCCGACCGGAGCAGGAGGTCCCGACACTTGGCGCCCCATGCCGCCTTGTGGGCTGCCCATCGTAGGCTGTTGAGGGTTGAGGGCTTATGATTTAGGGTTTAGGGTTTAGGGTTTAGGATTTAGGGTTTAGGTTTTAGGGTTGAGGGTGTTTAGATGGCCAGCTCGCAAGATTCTGAAGGTTTTGGGACTATGTTGGGTCCAAGACAAAATGGCTTCAGGGCCGTAGGGTTTCGGATCGTTTTTCCAGCCAATGTAGGGGGAGGCTTCAGGGCCTTAGGGTTTCGGGTCCTCAGCCAATGTCATGGGTTGCGTCGATACAACTTAACACTGTACTTCCAACACTTCAATGGGAACCCAAAACACCCACAAAAAGGGAATCGAGGCCTACTCTGGTACCTACATCGCAAGTTCTTGGCAGCTGTAGCCCCTCATTCAAGGGTTTAGGGCTAGGCGGGACCATAACAGACCCACGCGTTTTCGGCAGTTTAGCTCTGTTGCCCTCAGAATCCCCTGTAAATACCGATGTTTCCTGGGTTTCGCCCATCACCTCATCCCCGCAATTTTTATCCAAAACTATCCAGCAATTTTTTGGGCATCCGTAGACTGCACTGGTATTTGTGGGTTTTTTTTGCACTACTTCGCACTTTCGACGTGTCCTAAACTAAGCCCTGTCTTGCTTGCATCCGCTTCTGCCCAGCACTGGGTCTAATAACATGTTTGTTTCAGCATAGTTAGAAGAGAGCATCCATGGCCCAAGCATGATGATGTCCATGGTCTACATGTTTTCTGCACTGCCATGGCCCAACCATGATGACGTCCATGGTCTACTCCGTTCTGGGAAGAGAGCATCCAGGGTCCAAGCATGATGACGTCCATGGTCTATTCTGCTCTGATGAGAAGAGAGCATCCATGGCCCAAGCATGATGATGTCCATGGTTTACATCGTCTAATCCGTTCCGAGAAGGTTAAACCTTCTTCTGGGCAGGAATGGCTGGAAGTTCTTGCTTTTAGGCGCACTGGGGAGCAGAAAGGCGTCATTTCTCAACACTAAAGGCGGTGACCTAAGTCCTGCATCTCAGGTTTGCTGGTGGGGCCACAGTTTTGCGCGGGTCTGTTGTGGACCCGCCAGGTTTAGGGTTTAGGGTTTAGGGGGCTTAACCTGAACCCAAAAAAATCAGGGGCTACTCACAGTAGGTTCTTGGCCCTTGAATTCAATCGGCCCCGAGATCAAATCCTCAAGTGCCTGGAGGAGGCAGCACATCATTTCTGGTCAATCTTAGGTAATTAGGTTTTAGAATTAGGGTTCAGGGTTTAGGGTTTACCTGGGACTCTATTTACCCACAGTTTCGTAATAACTACCCTTAATTCGCAGGTATAGCCCAAAAACTGTAGGTAAACTTAGTAGCCCAGCAACCACATTATGATAAGGGCACCCATTTTGGGTTGGTTACTTTATAAGGGAACCCATAACCAAAAAAGCGCAAAGGGTACCACTGGGCTACTAAAGAGGGTCCCAGGTTGGATGGCACTCCAACAACAACCGTAAAGGTTTCATCGGGCTGAGAAGTTTGAACTGTTTCGTGTTCTGTCGCGGTTTAGGGTTTAGGGTTTAGGGTTTAGGGTTTAGGGTTCTGGGAAGTAGGGGTTTAGGGTTCACGGGGTTCTCATCTTCCGCGCGAATCTGCAGCCACGCTTCGGGAGATGTCCAGTGATTTCCTGTCAGAAGCCCGGACGCTTGGAAGTCGGTCTTACGATGCTTGCAGCTAGGCCTCTCCTCCTACCTTGCGTAAGGTTGGTATGGGATCAATGTATGTATACATATATATATATATCTCTATATATATATATAAATTTATACTTATATGTATACATATATACTGACTTTAGTTCCCTAGTAACCAGGTTGCCCAGTAATGTACCAGAAAGGGTATACTGGGAACCTACACCACCCAACGGGAATAAGGGCACCCAGTGGGGATCCTAGATCAGGTAATTGGAAAAGGGTTTATAGGGTTTAGGGTTTAGGGTTTAGGGTTTAGGGTTTAGGTCCCGGCCGGGTCTGTCAAGCCCTGAAAAACACTCCGGAAACGCGGCCCTCCCAAAACGTGAAACTTTGGGTAGTTTCCCAAAGAGCGCAATACCCCTTAACTAAGGAATATACCATAAAATCATAGAATCCTAAAAGAGTATAGAAGGGCTCTTTGGGTTACTGGGTTGGTTGACAAGATGTATTTACATGGAAACAAGATGGTTGGCTTAAGGAGCTTACCTTTAAATTACCACATCCAATTTTACACATTGCTGCCATGTTGTTGCAGCTTCGTTGAAGTTCCTGAACCGCAGGCCTGTTTGCAGCGCACCCCAAAGAAACCAAAAAAAAAAAAAAAAAACGCCGGAATTAAGTACTATACCTTCAATCACAGCTGCATAAATTTATGTATACATTCCTTAATTGAGGTACATTTCCTTAATTTAGGTATATATTCCTTAATTGAGGTATATATTCCTTAATTGAGGGGCATAGAGGTTTTTGAAACGTGGCATGCAGGGGGCGTCCCAGCCTCCGAGCAGAATGAGCCTATACGCCTTGTTCTTCCAGCGAGGGTTTAGGGTTTAGGGTTTAGGGTTTAGGGTTTAGGGTCAGGGATTATTAGGGTCTATAGGGTTTGCAGGGTTTCTAGGGTTCAGGGTCTAGGGAGTCTTCTCCCACTCTACTTTTTGCTTGAGAACACCCCAAAAGGAAGGATCATGATCCCTATATTGCCCTTATTTCTGCTTGAGAACACCCAAAAAAGGAGAATAATCCCTAGATTGCCCTTACCAAGTATCACCAGGAAGAGTATCTTTCTATTTCGGGGGGGGGGGGGGGGGGGGGTCTTAGTCTAGTAGTAGCCCTCAACCCTAAATCCTAAGCCTTGTTCGAAGGGATCTTAAGCATTTGCCAGCACTTTAGCCAAGAAAAGTCCACCACGGCAAGCATCACGCGGAGCTGTGATGAAACCGATGGGCTACCTAAACCCTAATCCCTAAACCCTAAACCCTGAACCCTAAACCCTAAACCCTGAACCCTAAACCACGACATCAGTCAACTCCTGAAGCTCCGCACAACCTAAGCCTTAAACCCTAACCTACGACGTGCTTAAGAACCCCGAAAACATATATTCTTCCTTACTAAGGGTAGTATAGGGATTATTGTTTTGCTTATTCTTTTGGGGTTCTTAAGCAAATAGTAGTAATCCTAAACCCTTCATCGTAAGCCCGAACTAGACCTCCAAATGTGGGTTCCTTATTTGGGGTGCCGCCTGTGCATCAAATTTTGGTTGCTGTTTAATCCCCCACTAGAAGGTTAACTGTTAGCTTCCTTAATTAAAGGTTAGAGGAACCCTAAACTTACAAAGTGATAAAGTTGTAGTAAAGTCTCACCTAGAAATAATCTAACCATAGAGATAAGGCACCAACGAAAACCCTAAACCCTGACCCCTAAACCCTACAGTAAACCCGAAACCCCTAAGCCCCCCTTAAACCGTAAACTGCAACCCTGAACTTTTTTCCCATTGTTAAACCTGGGCTCGCCCTAAACCCGAAACCCTAAACCCTAAACCCGAAACCCTAAGCCCTAAACAGCCCATGTGGGGTCCTAGAGCTGTTTTTCGGTGAGTCCAAACTCGCACGTCCCTTGGAGGAGGTGCGGCTCCTCGGCAGGGTTCAGGGATTTAGGGTTTAGGGTTCTTGGGGTTTAGAGTTTAGGGTTTAGGGTTCAGGCTTGAGGCTTCCTGAATCTACCAGACATGTTCATTCATTTCGGGTATACTTAGCAAAAGCCTTTGGCAGGGTTTTGAACGTCCAAGTACTTCACTATCGCGTCCTCACGGGCTTCGGGGTGAGGGGTGCTGGTTTCCTACATAGTGCGTTCGTGGACGTTCAGGGTTCAGGCTTTTTTCAGGGTTGCGCTAGCAGGACGGGCTGCTCCTTATAATCCCCCTAAGCCCGAGGCCATTTAAGGGTTTTGGGGGTTTAGGGTTCAGGTAACCAGGTACTGGTGTAATTGGCTTTCGCTAGATGGGTTTCCGCCGACCCCAGCGGTAGCAGGGCGGCGTCAGTGAAGACCCCCCACCGCCCTCACCGCCCTCACCCGCTCTCACAGCATGCTGCTCATGACACCTTGAATTGGAGTGTTTTTGCATTGTTTGGCTTCAGTGCATGCCCAAACCCCGCCACCCATCGCCCTCATTCATGACGCCTTGAATTGGACCTTTCACCCCCTCCCACCCCATCCATTCAGGTGGTTTAAAGGGTCCAGTGCATGCCCGACCCCCCCCCCCCCCCCCCCACCCCCACCCCCCCCCCACCCCCCCACCCCCCCCACCCCCCCCACCCCCCCCCACGCCCCCTTTTACCTCCGCCACCCCCCACCCTGTAGGCCTCGCCCCCGCCCCTGACCAATCTCTAGTGTTTTAAGGATTCCAGTCCATGCCCGCCCTGACCGCCCTCACCGCTCTCACCGCTCTCATCAGTCCCCCTCCCTGCCCCCCTCCACCCCTCCCCCCCACCCGCCGCCTCGACTCTGAAACCCCACCCCCACCCCCCCACCCCCCCCATCCCTTCCCTCCTAGGGCCCTACCCCTGACAAATCTCTAGTTTGAGGGACTCCCCTGCCTTCCACCCCCAACTCCTCCAACCCTCGACCGTCACCTCCCCTGTCCACCCGCCGCGCTCCACCCTGCCTTCCACCCCAACCCTCTCACCAGAGCTGGTCAAATGAGTCAGGCCCCCCTTTCCGCCAGCCGCCCCCACCCTCTCCCACCCACTCCCTAACCCTCCCACCAACCCTCCCCAGCCCTCATCATTACCCCCTCCCACCATCGTGCACCATCCGACCGCCCCCCCGCTCTCACCGCTCTCATCGCTTCTTCATCTCTATGCCCCCCAGTCCACCCCTGCCTTCCGCCCCCAACTCCCTAATCCGACACCAACCCTCTACCGTCACCACCCCCCACCCCCGCCGCCCCCCTTTCCACCCCCACCCACCCCCACCCCCCCCGCCCCCGCCCCCCCCGGCCCCAATGCGACTGTCTTGGGTCTGGGGTCGGCGGCACTGGCGGTAGCCATTAAATAATCAAGTCACACGTTCACAGAGGTCTTTCCCACAGAAAGACGCATGATGAAGGCAAGTGGTTTGCGTGAGGGGCTGAGGGTGTGGTGTCATCCCTCTCTTCCCGCCCATTTCCGCATGATCTAGGGCTTTTTTTAGTAGAAACATGTAGAAACACCCTTTGTAAGGTCCGAGATAAGTGAAGTTCTTAGGATTTACAGCAAAACTTGCTTTAGCGTGCGAAACGAAAATTCTCGATGCCGGGTGTCTCCAAGGCTGCTGTCAGCTTCCTTAGCCACGTTTAGGGTTTAGGGTTTTTTTTGCCACCCGACTAGCCACAGCAATGCGGGGTAGAAGGTTTAGGGTTTAGGGTTTAGGGTTTAGGGCTCACTTGCAAGGCAGGAACCCCCCCCACCCTTCCCCCCCCGCCCACTGCGTCACAATATCACGACAAATCACGATTTCAGGCAGCTTGCCAGGTTTATAGGGTTGGCGTAGAGAAATCTTGTATGTTAAAAGATCAAGATACCCAATGGTTACGGTGCACTTTCAGGCTGAAGGGTATAAAGGTTACTCTAGACAGCAATTAGACTCGGCTTAGACCTGTCCACTGCTACGGCAACACAGGTTGCCCAGCAACCATGAAAAAGGGTGCCCTTTCTTTGGGTGTAAAGCGTGATAGGGGTTCCTAAGCCACCCAAAAAGCGGACTAAGGGTACCCGAAGAGTGCCCAGTACTCCTTAGCTAAGGAATATACATACAGGTCAAGTCGTAGTAAGCATATAATATAAGCTAGGTAGGGTATGATCCCCAGACCCAAGAGTAGCCCCACAATGACAAGGGCGCCCTTTTTGGTTAGAGGGGCTTAGAAGGATACCGTGTAGTTCCTTTGTGGGTTAGTTATAGGGAATACTAGTATACGGCCCCAAAAAGGTACTACATAGGAGCCTTTGGGTAGGGTGTAGCTGGAAACTGAGGCAAGGATTTTGCCACCCGCCTGGCACAGGGTTGAGGGTTTCCCACAGAGCCCAAGCAGCCCAGAATCAAGGATAATGCATCAGTTTTTATACAGGTAATATCCCAGAATCAAGGAATATGCCTCACTTTTTATACAGGTAATGTCCCATCATCAAGGGGTATTGGGCTCTTGGAATCTTAGTGTTGAAGCAAGCCCGCGACCAGAGAGCAGACAACCAGCACAACATCGCTGTGCGGCTCAGGTTGGCCCACTTCCACGCCCCTCTTCCCAAGACACCACTACAAGGCCCGAAGAGCCTCAACCCTACACGCCCTAAATCCCAACATGCCCTAAACCCTATAAACCCTAAACCCCCAGAAAAGCTCGGAGCCCGTGGCAGCCGGGAGTCACTCCGATGAGGAGCCGCCCTTCTACCGAGCCGATGTCCGGCGTGGACTTGAGGCCTTAGGCTTTTGGGGATTCTAGGGTTTAGGGTTCTTGGGTTCTTGGGTTTAGGGTTTAGGGTTTTGGCTTTAGGGTTTAGGGTTTAGTCGGGTTTAGGGTTTAGGGTTTAGGATTCAGGGTTTAGGGATGAGGGTTCAGTTCTAAGGGTTCTTAGCGGTTACAGGGGCTTATCACTCATAAGGGTTCAGGGTTGGAAGGGTTCTCAGGGATTAAAGGCTCATATAAGGGTTACAAGGGTTCTTGGGTTTGGGGCTTTTAGGGTTCAGGGTTATGTCAGGGTTTAGGGTATCAAAGAGCGGGACATGACTGGCATACCTTCCAGTGCCATGGGTTTGTCTGCATTTTGCGTATCAAGGAAACGCTGGGGTTGCCCTGCCCCACAAAAAAACCTTTCAAACAGGGTTGGCTATCGGGCTTCTCGGGCCTAAGTTGCCCCGTTTGTCCATTTCAACCCTAAACCCTAAACCCTAAACCCTAGCAATGTCCCCGCACTTCAGATCCATGTTGATAGTCTTTCCGGTATACAGAGCCCTCAAGCCTAATCATTTCTAGTTCTTTTGGGGGAAGGTGCTCCCGTGATCTTTCCTGCAAAGAGGACTGTAGCATTTGGGGTTAGGAGCTATGAAGGCACCCCCCCCCCCCCCGGCCCCCCACCCACAGCTTGGGAAATACCCACATTGTAGTTTAATGGGTTTCGGGGTTAAGGGACTTGTTGACCCTAAACCTAGGGTTTAGGGTTTAGGGTTTAGGGTTTAGGGTTTAGGGTTTAGGGTTTAGGGTTTAGGGTTTAGGGTTTAGGGTTTAGGGTTTAGGTAAACCCTAAGCCCTGGCCTGTGCTGGAAGTGCGCTGCTCTCGCGGCGGCACACTCAAGGCTCGACATTCCTTCTAGCGGTTGTACCTTGGACCCTTCAGGGTTTAGTGTTTAAGGGTTTAGTAGGGATTAGGGTTTAGGGGTAAATTTTGGGTTTTGGGGATGCTCGGGGTGTTGTGGACCCTTGTTAACGGTGCTTAAGGTAGTATACGGCCCATATTCGGAGTATATTCAGGGGAACTTGGACCGTCCTGAATAGGCATCCTAGTAGCCCCTACTATAACCCCTATGAAGGACTGTTAGTACAAGGGGAAGCATCCCAAATGGGAACCTTTAGGGGTACAACCTTAGGGGTAGTCTTAATCCCTCGATCCCTAAATCCTGAAACCCCAAACCCTCAGGCCGGCCCATGTCCACCCAAAACCCTAAACCCTAAACCCCTTAAAAAATATAAAAAAAATAATAAAAAAATAAAAAATAAACCCTAAATCCTAAGCTCTAAGCCCTAAACCCTAAACCCCTAAACCCCTAAACCCCTAAACCCCTAAACCCCTAAACCCCTAAACCCCTAAACCCCTAAACCCCTAAACCCCTAAACCTCTAAACCCCTAAACCCCTAACCCCTAAACCCCAAACCCCAAAACAACACTCACAGCAAGTCTCGGCTGGATCTCGCCGGCACTTTGAAGCCAAAGAGCTGGACCTCTCATGGGCTACCAGGGTTTAAGACATTCTCTCATGGGTTTAGGGTTTAGGGTTTAGGGTTTAGGGTTTAGGGTTCAGGGTTTAAGGTTTAGGGTTTAGGGTTTAGGGTTTAGGGTTTAGGGTTTAGGGTTAATTAATTACCCCCCCCCCCCCCCCCCCCCCTCCCCATAGTTAAGGGGGTATATGGCTTAATTCAGGGTTATTGGGCTCTTTGGGCCAAGGCCAGGTAGCCATCTCATAAGAAGAGCATCCTGTTTGGGGTTGGCTACTTGATGATCGACAAATCGACCTGCGTACCTTCTGACTTTTCAGTAACTTCTTCATCTTGAACAGCGCGGGGAGGGTCTTGCAGCCAGGATTGATGGTAGTCGGGTAGTTTACCCTAAAACGGTTTAGAGTTTCGGGTTTAGGGTTAGAAGCTTAGGGTGTAGGGTTCAGGGTTTTAGGGTGAGAAGCTCAGGGTTCAGGGATTAGAGCTAGGAGCTGCGGGTAGGGTTTAGGGTTTAGGGTTTAGGGTTTAGGGTTTAGGGTTTAGGGTTTAGGGTTTAGGGTTTAGGGTTTAGGGTTTAGGGTTTAGGGTTAAGGGTTAAGGGTTTAGGGTTTTAGGGTCTTGCCCATATAGAGCCCTTTGAGAGCTCATATATATATATATATACATATATATATATGTATAGAGAGAGAGAGAGAGGAACCGGGGGTTTCTGTCGGGTGTCTGTCATTGATGATGCTGAATATTTCCAATCAGCTGGAATATACCAGTTCGGGGGAGAATAGTCCTCCCTAAACCCTAAACCCTAAACCCCAAACCCCAAACCCTAAACCCTAAACCCTAACCCTAAATTGAACCAGAGTAGGATCCCAATTACAACTGACTGGGCTTCCCTTATTCATGGGTATAGGGCTCTCCGACTCTAAATCCCAAACCTCAAGCCCCAAAGACCTTGCATGCTGCTAGTTTCTTTAAAAAGAACCCCCCCAGAAAAAAAAATGAACAACAAAATCTTTCTCAAAAGGGTAAAAAGGATAAGGATATGTATCTCTCTCTCTCTTTTTTTTTTTTTTTTTTTTTTTTGGGGGGGGGGGGGGTGCTTTTAAGCAAATCATTGTCCAGGGGGGGGGGGGGGGCTAAACCCTAAACCCTAAACCCTAAACCCTAAACCCTAAACCCTAAACCCTAAACCCTAAACGGCTCGAAGTCTGCCACCTCGACCGTGCTTCTCTTGAGCCTGATGGAGACGCTGCCCGCCCTCTCCTCATTCAGGGTTTAGGGTTTAGGGTTTAGGGCTTAGGGTTTAGGGTTTAGGGTTTAGGGTTTCGGGTTTAGGGTTTCGGGTTTAGGTTTTAGGGTTTCGGGTTTCTGGTTCAGAGCGGGTCCATCCCGACAATTCCACAGCAAAGCCAAGAAACCCCACCCAGACCCTGGAAATTTGCAAGATGTAGAACCCGAATAACGGTACCCTATACTACTATTGGGTTCTTTTAAGGAACCCTTCAAGGGATCTATTGTTTGGATCCTCCCAGTGGTCTGGGTATAACCCTTTAAACTTATCAAGCTTAAACCAGAAATTGGGTCGCTGAACGAAGGCCCTCAAAACCAACCATTGCTGCTAGGCGGAAGGCTCTAGTGGGTGATGTGTTGACCTCTGTTGATCTGCATCTGTCATTTGGGCTACCCCACATGAACCTGGCGGACCAAATGAACCCCAAAAGGGTGCGTGGTTCATATGCCTTCATAGGGATTGTAGTAGTAATATAGGGTATGTGACCCCAATTTGCTCATTTGGTCCCTAAAGAATGCGTGGCCTTTGCTCACATGCACCCACCTGCCGCACATGCTGTGTACGACTGTCGGCGCCCGTGGTACATAGACTCCATGTCACCAGAGTCCAGTGTTTGTGCTCCCAAGGCTAGACTTGGTGGTCCCGCAAGCATATTATAGCAAGGCGTGTTTTGGGATTGGTTTTGCCTTCTAAGGGGCCCAGAAACCAAGAAAGGGAAGAGGGTACCACTGGGCTACCAAGTATAACAGCAGGCTTCTTCTCATGCTTTTGTTAATACTCTCCTTCTTACCTTCTTTTGATATGCTGTTACGTTCCCAGTACCCAATGGCTATTATCATCTGCGCATGCCAATTGCTACGAAACCCTAAACCCTCCCTAAACCCTAAACCCTAAACCCTAAACCCTAAACCCTAAACCCTAAACCCTAAACCCTAAACCCTAAACCCTCACTGGATGGTTCTGCAAGACTCCCGGAGCCTCTTGCACCTCAGCTAAGGCTCCGCTGATGCCAGGGCTTTCACGCTCAGTTTCTGGAGGAAATCCGAGATCTGCCTCGGGGGCTTTTCAAACCCCAGCTATCAAGCAATCCGCTTAGGGTTTCGGGTCTAGAGCTTAGGGTTTAAGGCTTAGGGTTTGCGGCAAAAGAAGTTTCAATCGGAATAGATGTCAAGGGGATGCTGAATTGGGTTACCTCGGCCTAGCAGTTGCTGCACCCAGGCGCTTCGACTTGCCGGTTTAGGGTTTAGGGTTTAGGGTTTAGGGTTAGGGTGCAGGGTTCCAGGTAGAGGCAACTTGGCTTCGAGCTTGTGAAGTGCATGGGCAAGCGAAAGCCGGTGGCCAGTGCATGTTGGGGAAAAGTCTACGTGACCCTAAACCCTAAACCCTAACCCCTAAACCCTGAACCCTAAACCCTAAACCCTATAAACCCTAAACCTGTACTTAAGCCCGAGACTCGGGGAGGTCACACAGGTCATGCTACCGCCGGCAGGAACTCCGAAACATCACCAAATTCAAGGCTTGCACACCCAGAGATACACCATCGCACTGGAATTCTTCAAGAGCCCTACAAGTAGTTCTGCCTTCTGTTCTTTGTCTTCTGTTTTTCTCGCTCTCTCTCTCCCTCTCGAGGGTGCAGGGACGCCCAAGCCCTAAGCCACACCCAGAATACCCAGAGAGCCCAACACCCCTTTGTTAAGGAATATACCTTAAATTATCAAGGGATCCATATCATGATTTGCTTAAAAAACCCCTCAAAAAATGAAACATGTTCTTCCTTTTCAGGGTAATACAAGGCATGTTCCTGAGTTAAGGGGTTTTGGGCTCTCTGGGCAGCAAGATCGCACAAAAGCTTTCACATGAGTGCTAACCCTAGCTGCATCGACTCTGTCACAGAGGAAGTCCTTGGCCGTTCCATTGTTTGAGAGGGTTTAGGGTTTAGGGTTTGGGGTTTGGGGTTTGGGGTTTGGGGGGGTTCGGGGTTTGGGGCGTCTTCAGAAGCTTGGCTGGGAGGATCCTTACGGAACTCAAGGGTTTAGGGTTCAGGGGAAAGACATGCAAGAATGAGGGGCAGAGGTTCAGGCTTAGGCTTAGAAACCGGCAAGACCCTAAATCCGATCTTCACCCTAAACCCTAAACCCTAAACCCTAAACACTAAACCCTAGACCCTAAACGTCCGTCATCAGCACTGCCACCGAGGCGAACCCAGGACTCCCAATGGTGCCCTGCCTTGAACCCTTGGAGCCCAATGCCCCTTGGGGGTTAGGGTTTAGGGTTTAGGGTTAAGGGTTAACTCAAATCATGTTAAGGATGCCTAGATTGCGGGGGGATTTTCCGAACTTAGGGGTACCTTTGTGGGGGGTCTCTCTTCAGGGGATTCTAGTCTATTGGGGGTATAAAAGGGGTACCCCTAATTTTGGGACATGCCTATATGACTTTAAGGCATCTTCCCCAATTGCGGGGGTATTGGGCTCTCTGGGAACTCCTCACAGATTGGAACAAACCAAAGCCCCCCTTTAGCCCCCCTCCCTGATACCCCCCGGTTTAGGGTTTAGGGTTTAGGGGTTCAGGGTTTGGGCAACATCGAGCGCGCTTCATGCACAGTGGCCAGTGTTCAATCCCATTCAACTTGTCGGGCCACGCACAGCTGCTCCATGCTAGTGAACCCAACCCCTTCCCCCTAATGTTCAAATTGCCAGCTCCTTTAGGGTACCTTGAGCAGAGGATGGTCAGTATAAGCGGGGAGGGGGACCCTGCGGGAATGGGGAAAGAGAAGCATAATCGGGCCATTGACAAGTCGTAAGTCCACACTCCCAAACCTTTTTGGAGCCCCAGTCCCCCGAATTCCCAAAGCCGTAGGCCCAAGAGCAGCCTAGGAAAAGAAGGGTACCCTATTTGGTTTAAAGGGGCCTGAAAGGGAATCGAAATCAAACCCCCCAAAAAAAAGGAATACGTGCCCACTCTGGCTCTTTAGAGCCCTAGACCCTAAGCCCCAAACCCTACAAAGGGGAATAAGGGCCTACTGTGGGTCTGACAAGCATCAAATCGAGGAGGTTATCGGCCGAGACCAGAGACGCTGTAGCCCAGTCGAGCTGCGAAGCAAGTGTAGGATTTTGACTATTGAGGGCTTAGGCAACCGAGGAAATAGGGTTCAGGGTTTTGGGTGATGGCTGTTGAGCTGACTGAAGGCAGAGACTACAACAGCAGACATCTTGCGACGTTCCGGCCTCAGCGTTCTGCGGAGCCGACTGGGACCAGCAATGGACTTGCCCATCCTCAGTACCTTCGTCTGGGCCCTTGCTTGAAGGAACTTCTGCTGCTGAAACATTCTGGTCAAACTGAATGGGTCGAACTGAATTTAAGTTCCTTAACAAGGACCAAGTCGTGGTTTCAACGACTACAAGGTTCATCTCCCCTTTTATAAACCTCTAAGGAGCTTTATTCATGGGGCAGCCAATCCCCTTGCAGCCAATCCCCTACTTCCCTTCCCAAAACTCTCTGCAAAGAACCAGCGAGAACATGGTCAAAAGAGTGCTTGAAGCTCAGTCGATCAAACCTAGTTCCCCGCGCCTCGTAAAACCCTAGGGACCCCTCTTGCACCCTAAATCCTACATCCTAGAACCCTTGACTTAGGGTTCGTCATTCTTCCAGGACTTAGCAGCCTGACACAGTCAACACCCTAGCAACTTCGCGCGACCACGCTGCGAACCAGCAAACGGGGGCTTCGGAATTAAGATTTAGAGCAGTGGGAAGCTATTCCAAATTCGGGGGGGCGTCTTTCGAGGGTTGCATTTGAAGGGTGGCTTGGCTTCCAACTTCAACTCTGGTTGTCTGAAGGAAAACTGCGCACGGGCAGCCGCAGGAAACCCTAAACCCTAAACCCTAAACCCTAAACCCTAAACCCTAAACCCTAAACCCTAAACCCTAAAAGTAAAGTCTGAAAAAGGAGTCCAGGCTGTGGGACGCCGGTACCTAGACGAACCTTTATGCCTGTAGACAAGGGAGATGTGCCTCAATTGTCGATTTGGTAAAGCCTCGCCCTAGGGTTAACCCTAAAACCTAAACCCTAAACCCTAAACCCTAAACCTTAAGACTGAAATGATTCCTCTGAGCAGCAGATACAGGAGGCATCCTGGGCGAAGACACGCCACAAGGGTTTAGGGTTTAACCGGACTCTACAGCTTTATGGGGTATCTCTCTGCAATGATCCTGAAACCTATTTAAGAAGAGTTGGTATCATTTGTAGTATACGATATATATATATATACAGGCTTGTGCATTTAAACAGTAGATTCGTGAATGTAGGTTTGTTGAGCAGAATAGAACAAAATAGAAGAAGGAAATACTTGGCACGGAATAACTTAAAATAATACCCCTTAGTTAAGGAATGTATGTACCCTTAACCAGGTTGCCCGGTAGCCTAGGATCAAAACGGGTGCCCTTTTTTGCTGGAAGGAGTTTAGAAGGGAACCTAAACCCCCAACAAAGGGGAAAAAACAGGATCCTACTGGGGCATCCTGCTTGCTTACAACGACTGAAGGTATAATCCTTAAATAAGCGGCATGGGGCTCTTCGGGGAAGGGGACCCTAAACCCTAAACCCTAAACCCTAAACCCTAAACCCTTTTTTTCAGACTGGAACTGAGGCCATAAACTCTGAACCCTGAACCCTAAACCCTAGACGCCAATGGAATCGGATAGACTGGGGTCCGCCGCGCTTGCCTCCTATTCGCTCTTAGCACGTCCGCTGACAGTCGTCCCGGCGCCTTGACTATGTGAGACTTTAGGGTTTCTAGGGTATAGGGTATAGGGTTTGGGGTTTTGGGGGCCTTGGTCATCGAACGGGAAGGTCAGAGTTTTGAACGGAAGACCCGCTTCGCGTGTCGGAGAGCCCATGCCAGGGAACAGGGCAGTCTGTTGCCTCTTTCCATCTCAGTTTGTATCTGGGACTTCGGATTCCAACCGCAGGGTGTCGGGTTTAGGGTTTAGGGCTTCCAAAAAACTTCAAAGTATGCAAAATCATGGCCCCTTGTATGGGTTTCTGGGCTACTGATTTACATACTTTGGGCGCCCAGGTGGGGCTTTTCATATGGGGGTTTCCGAGATTAGGGGTACCTTCTTGGGGTCCTTACTACAAGGGTTTGTGGGTCGATATTAGGGTTTCCCATATTTTCGCAAACCTTCATATGGGAGTTCACGAAAACATGAGAAAACCTGAAATAGAACCCAAAATAGTAGGATCCCCTTGTGATAAGAACCCCAATAACGTACTCCTAATTTCGGAAACCCCCGAAACCCTAACCCTAAACCCTAGACCCTAAACCCTAAACCCTAAACCCCCATAGTCTAACCATGTTGATACCATGAACCCATGGACGAAAGACTCGAAGCTCAGATGCTGTTCGGCACACGAAGCCTCAACAACAACAACATTGCTGTTTAGGGTTTAGGGTTTAGGGTTTAGGGTTTAGGGTTTAGGGTTAAGGGTGACTGGTCCGATCCAAGGAGCGAAAAGGCTGGACACCATGCCTCTTCAGGGTTTAGGGTTTCGGGTTTAGGGTTTAGGGTTTCGGGTTTAGAGGTGACAGACTTTTCAGGAGAATAGGGTCTAGGGATTGTCAGATTGCCGAACCATAAGGATCTACGTGCCTTTTTAGTATATACTTGGGCCTTAAAGGGGAGCCTATAAAGTAGCTTTAAGGGCCGAGTATACACAAAAAAAGGCACATGGATCCTTAGGGGAAAGGGGGTGGGAGGGGGGGTGGCTGGGCTGGGGGCTTTGGTCCCTGACAAGTACGTAGAAGCAGGACCCAAGCTACGAGCTAAAGGACTCACTCGCCAGAGAGAAGTTCTTCTAAGTCACCTAGCTTTGCTTGCCGCAATGTAGGAAACTGTCCCTAAATCCCAAACCCTAAACCCAGGTATGTATCTGCGGTGCTCCTTGCACCTCCAAAGGTTTCAGAGTTTGGTAGCACTCGAATGGCGAACAAGTCACAAGGCTTCCTGCGCATGAGGTGCCGAAGCATGCATGCCCTCAACCCTGGCTGAACCTTGAAGAATGATTGCTCTAATGCCCCAAGGCCTGAAATGAACTTTATCTACCTACACTGCAGTCGCAACTTTCACCGGGGTTTACTTGAAGGTTCAGGGTACTTACTAACCGAAGAAACTTGTACTTACAACCCACTTACAAGCCCCTTTTAAGCACCCTAACACGGTTATAAGTACAGGCATAAGTACAGTTACGATTGGTTTAATTCTAAGTACCATGAACCTCCAAGTAGGGTCTCACTGCCCGCATGGCAGCGGAGAACCCCATCCCCCCTCAGCCCTCTCCGCGAAGAAAGACCCTGGGCCCTGGTTGAAAGTGTCGGGCTGGACCCGCCTTCAAAAAACACGAGTTCGGCCCTACACCCTATAAACCCTAGAAACCACATAAACTCTATCCCTAAACCCCGTACCCTAAACCCTAAGCCCTAAACCCGAAACGGAAGCAGCCTCGAAAAGCCGTGTGCATCGACTCCATGTGCTGCTGCTCGCTTGCCAGGGCCGACAGGGCCCGGAAGTACCTCAGCGGCCGTTTTAGGGTTTATAGGGTTTATAGGGTTTTAGGGTTTCGGGTTTAGGCTTTCGGGTTTAGGGTTTAGGTTTAGGGCTTAAGGTTGAGGGTTTGCCTAAAGGCTCCTAATCAAGCGCCGTATGACTGATAACTTGCAACGAACCGCAAACAAGGAACGACCCCTAGAGCCTGCAGGTAGGCTTAGGGTTTAGGGTTTAGGGTTTAGGATTTAGGATTTAGGGTTTGGGGTATGGGCGGTTTAGAGCAGCCCACCTAGCTACGAGCATGGGGCTTTCGATAGGGTCCGTTTGGACGAAATGACCCCCCCCCCCCCCCTTTTTAAGCACCGGGCTGCGGCCGTAAACCCTGCACCCAAAGCCCTAAGCCCTAAACCCTAAACTCTAAACCCTCGCCGCGGCGCTCGAGCTCGCCGTCTTCCATGGCAAGGTGCGTGACGACGGCACCTGTTGGACAGGCAACAGGCGATCTCCAGGCTGGTAGGTGGAAGCCCTTTTGACGTAGTAGGGTTTAGGGTTTAAGGTTTAGCGTTTAGGGTTTAGGGGTAATTAGGGTTGGGGTTATGGGGATTACAAGAGGGGATACTGAATAGACTTACTGAGTCACAAGAGCTTCCAAGCAATCCCTGGCTGGTAAGGCACGTTCATGAGGTCATTACGATATGTTTGAGAATTATGGGGTGGGGCGGGGGGGGGGGGGTCGGAGGGTTTGTATAAGGCTTAAGTAGGGCTCAGAGAAAAGGCGTTGAGGGGCTGCAGCTGATCGCAGTCTTTTGTTCTTAGGGTTTTAGGCTTTAGGGGCGACTGGTCCCAGTCACCAGCAGATCGCTCTCGCTTCTCGGCTTTGGGGTTTAGTACTGAGGGAATCTTTGCTTAGCTTCCTCCCTCTCTCTCTCTCTCTCTGCCCCTTTCTATCTCCCACTCCCTCTGCCCCCTCTCTAGGACTTCAGGGTTTAGGGTTCAAGCGAAATCGGGCCCCAACAAACAATTAACCCCCCTCGTTAAGAACAAATGTGAGCTACGAGCGAAAGCTGAGAAAGAGCCAAGCCAGACATAGAGAGAGACACGAAAGAGCGCTAAGAGAGAGAGAGAGAGAGCGAGAGAGAGAGAGAGAGAGATGAAAGAGAGAGAGCGAGAGAGGTATAAGAGAGAGAAGGATAAGATACTCTACGTTGGATCTCGTGTCGTGCACCGCGTCTCTTTACTTCGCCGTCTACCTGACGTGTGTCGGCATTCGGGTTAGTGGCTATCAGGTTTTGCCCCTTAGTTTAAGAGCATCTCTGACATAGGGACTGACCTAAATATGATTTTCAGGCATGGCGTTACGCTGCTGAAAGAAAAGGGGTGTGGGGACACCCTGGGGGTACAGGTTCCAGGCAACCCTAGACCCTAAACCCTAAACCCCAAACCGCGCCTGCACATTGGATGATGCCCAGGGCCACGCAGTGCGCAGAGAGACCCGTGCAAGCCTTGAGTGGGAAGTTCAACTAAGTGCTCAGGGTTTAGGGTTTAGCCCTTTTTTATGCCCTTCATTAAGGAGTACACCTTAAATGTTCATATTTGGGATCCCTTAATGGAAAATCCGATTCCTTAGCTAAGGGGTACAGAAGGCTTTTCGGGTGCTGCCTAAAGATGAAATTGCTGGGGTGAAGGGTGTAAGGTCTCTTGAGGATTCTGTCTGCCGGGTTGACTTCTGTCGGAGACATGTCCCGCAGGGTTCAGGGATTAGCTTTCTTCTCCAATAACCAAGGTAAAAAAAAAAAAAAACTTCATTATTCCTACTAAATACGGAAACCCAAAAAAAGTTTAACTATTGGCTAAGTAAGTTAGGGTATAGGGGAGCAAGGGAACCCGAGGATGCTTGCCAAAAGCAGCCGAAAGGCAGAGTGGAACGCCAGCCAGCAGCCGAAGTGCACGGGACACACCTTGGCTTACTAGGGTGCCCAGTAACCTAGGATGAAAAAAGGGTGCCCTTTTCTGCTTACAGGTGTTTAGAAGGGAACCTAAACCCACCCAAAAAAGGGGATAAGGGCACTACTGAGCATCATAGCTTAATATGATCCTGGGTATCGGTCGCGAATGGCCTGAAAGGGTATGCGGAGGGCACCCTTTTGTTGTGAGGGGTTTGCAAGGGAACCTAACCCCCTCCCAAAACAAAAGAGGGCATGAGGGCACCACTGGGCATCCTGGTTGGGGAAGGGCTCCAAAAGTTCTGCGTCCACATGACACACAAATCCTCAAGCTACAAACCTCAAAAGCAGAGGCGGAGGGGAGGGGGGGGGGGGTTACTTGGAAGCTAGTACATCTACTAGTGTCCCCAAGAAACTCTCTTATATACCCTACACCCTACTCCCTAAGTCAAAAGAGCTTCAAAGCAGTGCAGGCAAGCGTCCACTGCCAAGAGCCAACCTATCTGCATGTGGCCGAGAACGGCGAAAAGAAAGAGCCTGCAGATAACACCATGGGTTTCCCCTACAACCCCCCTCTATACTACCCCCCTAGGTTCCCTCCATAAAAAAACCTCAATTAGGCTTAATTATCCCTAAATAGCCTTAATGGGGGGCGGGGGGGGGGGGGGGGGGACCGGGGTAGGGGAGCCTATGAGAATACACAGGTACTATGATACTATACTCATATATTTGCACACTAGTAGAATCAGAAATATGACATTTCCTGAATATAATCGCGATATGATTTAAAATCAGAAAAATAATGCTAGCATAAGAGTCTAATAAACTAACAATCGACTAACATGTGAATTTAAAGACAGAATAACATAATTTAATCGTATAGAAATAATATATATATATATATATGTACACACATAATCTGAGAACTTCTCATATCCATATATGAATAGCCTACTTTGGAGTAGACCCTGGGAACAAATATGTACTTTCTAGGGATAAGAAGCTATAATAGGAACCCAGAACTAGAAAAAGCATTAAAGTATAGTACTCCCAAACCCGGAATATGTTTGTTGGATTAAACCCTAAACCCTAACCCCCAAACCCCAAACCCTAAACGCTAATGCTCTGGGCTTTCCTTGGACTACCTGGAGCCACTGGCTTCGTCTTTCAAGGTGATCGGGACGTAACCCTAAGACATAAGAGCCTCGATCCCCATTTATTTGCGGGAAAATGACTAAATCATAGCAAGGATCCCTATATAAAAAGGGTATACCCCTTCAATAAGGAGTTTACCTGAGTTTATATGCAGGGATCCTGAAGATGATCTGCGGTTGAAAACCTACTGCGTATGGAGCGCTCTTTGGGAAGGCGAGCGGTCTCAACCTCTCTGCAAGGGTTTAGGGTTTAGGGTTTCCCGAATACCGGACGTACATCGTCACATGACTCATGCACACGCCCGGTACGTTATGATGGAAACAGATTAATCTTCAATTGTTGTACAATCTATTAGTATGATTGTTCGTATTCTTATTGTTGGCATATTGGTGTTATTTTATTCTTGCTATCATAGATCACGTAACTACAATATTCTTCATATTGAAATAATCTTGCTACTGATCGTTGCACATCGGAGTTTTTGGGGAGCCTTGGGCAGTGCCTACATGGCAACCCTAAACCCTAAACCCTAAACCCTAAACACTAAACCCTAAACCCTAAACCCTAAACTTAAACCTAAGCCCTAAACCCTAAACCCTGCTGCAGCTCAGCACTGCTGCTGGGAGGGTTCATGGTACTTATCAACCCAATAAAAACTGTCCTTACAACCCAATTGTAACCATGTTTAGGGTTTAGGGTTTAGGGCACTCAAGGGGCTTATAAGTGGGCTGTAAGTGCAGTTAGACTTGGGCTAAGAAGTAGCATGAACCTCCCAGAGCCTGCTGCATGTCTAGCGATGTTCGAAGAAGGGCTGTGGGTTTAGGGTTTGTGGTTTCGGTTTTAGGGTTTGGGATTTGTGGGGTCTGTGGTTTCGGGTTTAGGGTTCCCTCATAAACTCAGCAATGTCGAACACCCCTGTCCTGTGCCCTAAAGTTGCTCTTGCTGGAGCTGCATCACGCAGTGAACGCTAACCTCTCACTAGTTCTGATCACCCAGGGAGCAGGAGTAGCTCACTGTAGAGCTGATATTTTGAGGCCTGTACTGTCATGTGCTTCAGAACACCCCATAAAATTACAAGATATTAATCCCTGAATAACCCCTGCAAGGAAGAATGTATTCATTTTTCGGGGGTTTCAGACGAGCGGCCATGGCAAAGCCGTGCTCATGTAATACAAGTGCGGCGACGAGTCCTTAGTGGGCTTGAATCATCTCAGGATCTACGGCTCGGAGCTGTAGGATGTCGCTTTCAAGCCAGCAAAGCGCCCTACTGCAAAACGTGGGGGAGCGTGGTCTAAATGCTTTGAAGGACTTTCTTATGGCATATGCGGAGATGAGCGGGGGGGAGCACCCGTGCCTCTCGGCCTCTCGCACGGTTTTTTCAGAGATTCCCATGAAATCGGGAACAGGTGCGAAGTTGGACAGGCTTTGAGCAGTTGAACTGCAATGCTGAGGTTGCCCATACTATTGGGCATCCCGGAACGTAAGCTCAAAGACCTCCTGTGGCAGGCACAACAGATGCAGGTTTAGTAAACCCTAAACCCTAAACTCTAAACTCTAAACCCTAAACCCTCAACAGGTTCAGGCCAGGTACTGAAACCATGGAAGCGGCAGTTGCTGCGAGCAATATCTCCTTCAGGCGAGAGGAGTGTCCGCAATGCATCCATCAACCCCAAAAAGAGCCCAATACCCCTTTGTTAAGGGTTAGGGTTTAGGGTTTAGGTTTTAGAGTTTAGGGTTTAGAGTTTCTGCCTAGCAGCCTCGCATGACTATCTTCAGTCTTCCGATAGACTGTATGCGCAATAAGCCTGAAGGGATGCCTGACGGACGTTATCGGAGAATTGCCTACTCGGAAAATGGTTTAGGGTTTAGGAATATTCCTGTAAAGTATTCATCAAGGATGCCTGTTTTATAAGTTCAGGCATATTCCTTAATTTACGGGTGTTGGGCTCTTCTTTGGAAAATGCGGTGAAGAATCCCAACAGGCACCCCTGAACCCCAATTCCTTGAAGGCTTGCGATGGAAACCATCCCCTCAGCGAACTCAGGACACCGGATGTCGAATTACCTTCCCTACATTTCCACACAAGTCCGCTTCTCCAGCGAACTCAGGACACCGGATGTCGAATTACCTTCCCTACATTTCCACACAAGTCCGCTTCTCCATGAGAAATATGCCAAACCTTAACGCCTAAACCGTGAACCCTAAATGCTAAACCGTAAACAAAAACTACAAGTTCAGACCCAATCTCGCATGGTACCCAAAGGGCCCAAAGCACCCATTAAATCAGGAATCTATGGGTTTGGGTTTAGGGTTCAGGGGAATATACCTCAAATTACATAGGGATCCTTAGTAAACTCTCAGGGTTTAGAGCTTTAAGGTTCTACGATGCGGGTTCATCGGTTTGGTTCATGTCTGGTTCTACATTCAAGCCAGCGGTAGCCTGCTCAAGGTACGGGCTTCTAAACTCTAGGATTCCTGAATGGGGTTTAGGGTTAGGGTTTAGGGTTTAGGGTTTAGGGTTTAGGGTTTAGGGTTTAGGGTTTAGGGTTTAGGGTTTAGGGTTAGAGTTTAGGGTTTAGGGTTTAGGGATCTTCTTGGACCCAATAAGGGAAAATATAAAACGGGGTTTAGGGTTTAGGGTTTTGGGTTTAGGGTTTAGGGTTTAGGGTTTATGGTTTAGGGTACTCCCTCGGCTCCTGAAACGTGAAGAGGGCCAGCTGGATGAAGATGCTCCTAGACCTGTGCCGCTCTTTCGGGCATTGGGTTACTTGGCGGCTCTTTTGACTTGGTAAGTCTGCTTAGAACTGCTATAGAAACCCTCTCATAATCCCCATAACGCACCTTCCCAACCCTACTTACTATGTCAAAAGAGCTTCCATGACGGCTGGTAAGAATTCAGGCCAGTTGGGTGAGCCTTCTGCTGAAGCTCCGATTCACTACAAATTTAGGGTTTAGGGTTTAGGGTTTAGGGTTTAGTTGCTTAAGAACCCAGGGAAATAAAAAAAACATTCTTCCTTATAAGGGCAATAGAGGGATGATTCCCGTCCCTAAACCCTTTTTTTGCATCCAGGCTTGGGTGAGCGTCCCTAAACCCTACACCCCTAAACACCTAAACCCCTAAACCCCAAACCCTAAACCCCAAACCCCAAACCCCCAACCCTAAACCCTAAACCCTAAACCCTAAACCCTAGTTTAGGGATCGGAAGTGCTGAGCATCGGGCGTGCCATAGATCCATCTCCGTGCAATCTGGAGTGTTACCAAGAACTGCGCTGCCGTGACGCCTGGCCGATGAGAGCTTTAGGGTTTAGGGTTTAGGGACTGAGAAAAAAGCCTAAACCACTCAGGATAGTTGCATGGCCCCGTAGTATGGGCGCTCAAAAAGGAGGCCCCTGATATGCAGATATACCGCTTATAAACCCAACGCCCGAGACCCTAAACCCTAACATGAACCTTAACATTGGCAATGTGTGCCCGCCACGACGATACTCCTTACTTTCTACAACCCATGGCCCTAAACCTGAAACCCGAAATCCTAAGCCCTAAACCCCAACCCAAACCCTCACGCTGTAGAAATGAGCCGTCTGGGGCTCCTTTTTGAAATTTTTGTCAAGGTGGAAGATCGGCTGCCGGAGATCTAAACAAAATACAGAAAAACGCTTGGGATGTGCCCCCCTTGGACTAACAGGGGTTTAGGGCTTAGGGTGTAGTGTTTAGGGAGTCCATATAATCCCTGTTCATAACGAGCTGCTTGTATAAGGGAGAACACCCCAACAAAAACAACATACTGCAGCTGCAACGGCCTTTAAGGGATTTGTTCTGTTCTCTTTGGCTTTAATGTTGGGGGTTCCTGCAGCAAATCCTTCCCTATCTTGTATGCGGAAGATGTTCTTGATTTTTTGTTTAAACCTTTTTGGTGGATTCTTAAGGGGATTGTGGTAAACTGCCATCAGGCAGCTGAGTGCTGTGATACAGCACGGCTAGTGAGGAACGTGTTTTTATGGATGTCAGTGCTCTCTTCACATACAAGGTCCGAAGCGAACCCACAAAAATCGAACCAACGCCATCAAAGGAATTTGGCCGTGAGGCTGCACGACAACAAATATCCTCAGTTCTGGCTGACTTGATGCGCGACTGGCAGATCTCCCATGCACAAACGCACGCTCCTAACCCAAAGTGCTTTTGGGTTTAGGGTTTAGGGGCCCACAACGGCCCCCCCCAGCTGCTGACAGCAGCCTAATTTTAGTTGAGCTCGCGAAGCCTCCGTGTCATCAGACTGATAGCCATGCTCAAAGGTAAGACTTGTCAGGAATCCTTAACCCTGAACCCTGAACCCTAAAAAACCCTAAACCCTAAACCCTGTTAGGAAGAGCAATCAGATCCAGGCTCAAGGAAAAAACCTGATCAGATGACTCAGATGCCTCAGATGTCCTGTGAAAAACCAAGAAAAAAGCACGGCCATTTCGGACGAGCGGCTTGTTGGCATCATGTTGCCGTCCAGAAAGTACAAGCTCGTCATGAGGATACCTGCAGAAGGCCCGTGCATTCAAGGCCGAAGGCATTGAACTGGGATCGACATCGAAAACAACCGCAAGAAGCCAAAGCAACTCCCCAAAGTAAGAGTCCCTTTTCAAACAGGCTTTTCCCCTCAAACCCCAAAATCTTACATGCTAGACATTCTCTATCAGAAGCCGACACGTGGTCAGGGACTCGGAGATTGTCCTGAAAACCTGGGGTTTAGGGTCTAGGGCTTCGGGCCTTCAATACGGAAGCCTAGGCTTCTTGAGTTTTTGGGTGGCCCTCCTGACGACACCTGCGGACGTTTAGGGGGGGAGGGGGGGGGGGGGGGGCGCATCGCGAAGACTTCGTGAGGAGGACCTCAAGGAAATTGCAACCCACATGGACAGGCAGGCAAGGTGATTTCCCTAAACCCTAAACCCTAAACCCTAAACCCTAAACCCTAAACCCTAAACCCTAAACCCTAAACCCTAAACCCTAAACCCATGCTTTGGGTTTGGGACCGGTTGCCTCAACAATGGACAACCCAGGATTTTTGCTAAAGGGACCTAAACAAATTAGAATGGGGGGCTTGGAAAGTAGTATCAATATACAGGGACCGGAAGGGAATAATGCTAGCAACTATTCCGACCCCTAATATTAGCAGTCTTATGGCCAAGGTGCACATGAAAGTAAAGGGAACAGCTGCTCGTACGAAGCGTCGCGCAGCGCGGTGGACCCGCCATGTAGTGTACTCCTGGAGCCAGGGCTGGGATCAGGCCGATAAAAGGCCCGAAGACAAGTTCGTGCCATCGAGGGTTTAAGCCTAGAACCCTAAACCCTGAACCCTGAACCCTAAACCCTAAACCCTAAACCCTTAAGCCTTAAACCCCGAGCCCCCGACCTTAAACCCTAAATCCTAGCCTTCTTGGTCAGACATGGGTCACTTGGAGGTTCATGGGTACTTATTGCCCCCAATTCGAAGTCTACCTTTAAACTCCGAAGATATCTTCGGGGGCATACCCGGAACCTCCAAGTAGGACTCACTGTAGGCCCTTCTTCTCAGGTTTTTAGGCCTCAGGTTCCCTTCTAAGCCCCTTTGAACCCAAAAGGGTTTGGGGTTAGGGTTTAGGGTTTAGGGTTTAGGGTTTAGGGTTTAGGGTTCTGATGAGAGGACCTTGAGCTCACTCCGCGAGCAGCCCGGGCCATCCCTGTCGAGGAACTACGGTGAGCCCACAGTCCTACAAACCCTAAGCTCACAAACCCTAAACCCTAAGCTCACAAACCCTAAACCCTAAACCCTAAACCCGGAACCCTAAACCCTAAACCCTGAACCCTGAACCCTGCAACCCCATACCCCCAGACCCTGGACACAGCACCCGAGGGAATGGAGCCACGTCTCCGATCTGTCAGTGAAGAGCCGCTCGACCAGCCGAGGCCCCCATCCCAGTGAAGCCACCGCCTTCCCAGAGACCCTAAACCCTAAACCCTAAACCCTAAACCCTAAACCCTAAACCCTAAACCCTAAGCTCTACTCCTTAATTAAAGGACATGCCTAAAATCACACAAAGGGGTCCTTAATAATTATGATTTGAGGAATGTTCCTTAAATAAGGGGTATTGGGCGCTTTAGGAGCAATACCGTAAGCCCTGAACCCGAAACCAATTCAGGGGTATTTGGCGAGTTTCTTGGACTGCCTGCAGTAGGCCTAAGCCCTAAAGCCTTGTTTAAGGGTCAAACCGTTAGGGATAAGCATGGAAGGCACAAGCAAAGGGATTGAGAATAAGCCTCTCGGCGACAACAACCAAAAACTCCCGGCCAGTTTTTTTTTACCTACACCCTAAATCCTTTTTTACATCCAGGTCTCACACCCTAGACCCGAAATGCCAGTACCCCAGTCAAAATACAAGCATCCTTTCCAAGAGGAGACTACACTACAGTAGGGAAGCGTTCAGGGGTTTGGGAGCATGGGCTTAGGCTTTAGGTTTAGGGACCTGGTGTTTCTTTCAGTGTAGGGTTTGGCACGCCAACGCTAGGGTTTAGGGAGTTAGGGTTGAGGACTTAGGGGTTTCTTGAGTTTAGGGACACTCTTCCTTGCAACCTCTGCGCCCGCGCAAAACCCTCCATCGGTCGCCAGTTCTATCCGAGGTGGGGCAGGTGCGGTCGAGATAGCTGGATCTAGCCGGTCTCTGCTGGCTCAGAATCATGCAGCGACTTGAAACCTGCTTCCTAAAGGATGGAATGCAATTACGCTCGATTCATCTGTGCAGCTTCGTTGTTCTGCTTTCTCAGCATCTGCTATGCGTAAATAAAGGTACTGCATTGGGGGCCTACCTAGAGGCTCCATCTGCCGATCCCCTGACCCTGAAAAGATAAACGCGTGGACTGCGTGAACCCGAACATGTATATGGCCCACAGTGGCCTTTAATAATTTACCTTGGTAGCCCAGGAACCATATTGAAATAAAGGCACCCTTTTTGGGGTTGGTTGCTTTACAAGAGGACGTTGAACAAAAAGAGGGAACGAGCACCACTGGGCTACCAAGATTGAGATCACAATGATGAGTTGCTTAGCGCAAATCATCCCCAGCTGGGAGTTTACGAGAATGAGAGACCCCTAATATGGACCCCAAATAGTAGGATTCCTTACAATGAGGACCCCAAGAAGGTACCCCCGAATTTCGCAAATCCCATGATTACCCTAAACCTTAAACCCTAAACCCCCAGCTTGTCCACTGAGTCCTCATGAAACCCTAGACCAGAAATGCCTGGGCGTGCCGGGTGCGTTGTGCAGCTTTCGCTTTAAAGGCCGCGCGCTCCCCCTCCATGCTGCAGATCTCCTTATTCCTGTCACCTAGGACCTAGGAGTAACCGGCCAAAAAGCTATGGCACGTCTATCCCTATTTCAAGGGTAAGAAGATGCCAGAAGTCATAAGATTACTCTAGGCCAGGCCACGGGGAGGATACCCTAACCCTAAATTGTAAGGTGTCCCATGATAAGATGACAAGAAACTAGGATGGCCTTCAGAACCCCAAGCCTGCCTATGTTTTGCAGTTGTTGTTGAATAAACCCCTCAGATAAGGTTCTGCCACAAGCGACACAATACCTGTCGCCAAGAAACGTGGGTTCTTAAGAGTTGAACAAACCCTAAACCCTAAACCCTATAAACCCTAAACCCTAAACCCTAAATGCAAGATAGAGGTGGAAGCCTGTCATGTGCTCTCCATAGACTTGAGCCCACAGCCAGCACACACAGACACACACGGGTGTGGGGTTTAGGGTTTAGGGTTTAGGGTTTAGGGTTTAGGGTTTAGGGTTGCTAAAACCTAAACCCTCTCTCTATCTCTAAACCCGAAACCCGTAAAGCAGAGCTGCTGCTTGAAGGTCCATAGGTACTTATTATAAGTGGGGTGTTCTGAGCCCTGAGTAAGGCTATGACCATGGTTAAACCTACTCATAACCCTACTTATAAGTACCCACAGGAACCCCCAGAGCCCAATACCCCGCCCAATTAAGGAATATGCCTTAGATTTTTACGGGGTTTAGGGGTTTAGGGGTTTAGGGTTTTAGGGGTTTAGGGGTTTAGGGTTTAGGGTTTAGGCTTTCGAGGGCTCTTTGGGTACCCCCAGCCGTCCACCTCTGCCTTTTGGGGGTGCCATGGTCAAGGTGTTGGGTGGAGGGAGGAGGCGCAGGGTAACCCTAAACCCTAAACCCTATAAACCCTAGACCCCATAAACCCTAAACCCTAAACCCGGTTGAGGGGCTCGGTCGCCCTGGGAGAGTGGGGCGCTGCCCCAGAAGTCCGAAGTCCCATGGAACATCCAAAGCCCTCCAAAGAGCCCACGACTCTTCATTAAGGAATTTATAGGGTTTAGGGTTTAGGGTTACTCCCTCTAATCATACTAAGGGTCCCTCTGCATGACTCAAGGTCTATTCTTTAATTAGGGGGTATTGGCTTGGTAGCCTAGCAACCATATTTAAAACAAGGGTACCCCTTTTTTCAGGTTGGTCACTTTCTAAAGGGAACCTTGAACCCTAAACCCTAAACCCTAAACCCTAAACCCTAAACCTAAACAAAAAACAAAAAAAAAAGGAATAGGGTACCGCTGGGCTACCAAGGTGGACTGTGGGCCTAAAGAAATAGAGCCCTCCAGCGCGCTTCTCAAGGGACTAAAGGAGAGACCCTGAAAAAGGTACCTGGGGTTTAGGGTTTAGGGTTTAGGGTTTAGGGTTTAGGGCTACTTAGGTCTATGCGGACTATAAGGGTATATGTTCGGGGAATATTTTTGGGGAAAGAAGGCTAAGGATCCCTTCTAGGGGGTCCCTCCTTCGACCCCTTAAGCTCCCCAGATCCGGCCACCACTCAACCCAACCCAAAAGCTGGTCGGAGCACTCGCCGCGGACCGCTTGCCCTGGCAAAAGACGTGCCGGGACTTCATAAGCCTACTATAAACCCTTAATATAAACCATGTAAACCGTACAAACCCTGCACTTTCAAAATGTTGAAACTCATGATAAGGAGGAGTCTACGCAACCCTATAACCTGCAAACCCTTGAACACTGTTGTGTCAAATCTTCTGGGTTCCAAGCTAGCACTGATTGGAACTTGTGCTGGTAGGGTCGGTGCCTGGTAGTTGTTCCTAGCTATCACAAGGCCGGCCCAAACAAGAAGCATGAAATAGAACAGGTCACATGGCCATCACCTGGACATAGATTTCGATTTCGGGATATGGGTCTTAGCCTCAACACCGAACACCCATATGAGGCCTACATACCCTAAGAACCTACAGAGCACACGCTGCTAGGGCGCCATGCGGGTCCGGGTTGGGGGGGGGGGGGGGGCTTCTTCTGCGGAGGGGCACCGCGTTGCCTCAGTAATTGCTCACTTCATTCGCCTTGAAAGGCAAGCGCTGGAGAAATAGGATTCAGGGTTTAGGGTTTAGGGATGTTTAGGGTTTAGGGGAACTCGTGAGAATTGTTATTTCAAACCCGTGAAGATGCAAGCCGTCGTCAAATGGGGTCTCCGAAAATAGGGGTACGCTTTTTGGGTTCCTACAATAGGATAAGAAAATACTTGAGGTATATTAGGGGTAGCCTCGGAAATGCCCAAAGAGCTCAAAGCCTCCAACTAAAACCCTGCTGCCTCTCCGAGACAGCCAAGACACATCAACTATAGTACTTCCAACCCCCGAACACGCTCAGACCGCATAAGCCGCATAACCCTGTCACACGGAAACATGCTCCGAGTGAGCTAGTTACGCATTTCCATCAGCACAAGCAAGCCAAATGCAGATTTGCAATACTTGGTAGCCCAGTGACCACATTATCATAATGGCACCCTTTTTTGGGTTGGTTTCTTTGTAAGGGAACCTGGAACCAAAGAAAGGGAAAAGGGTACCACTGGGCCACCAAGAATACTTTTTGTTCTTGCAGCGTTCGGCCGAGGAAAGATTGCGCGAAGCACCTTGAAGGGCAAAGCGTTGGGCCAAGAGCAACCATCCCAAACACCCTCGCGTGCCCAGACGAGTCTTTAGGGTTTAGGGGTTTGGGGTTTAGGGCCTAGAGTTCTCCAAACTACAATATACAAGCTCTACCGCACAATCTCCTGCAACAGGGCGCCACAAGCATCTCTTCTCATGGCCATCGTCAGCACTGCTTCCGTCGCACGGGGCAACGGCCGCATAGTCTCGCGAGAAGCGCGCTCCCTGGCCAGGAGCCATTGCTGTTTAGGGTTCAGGGTTTAGGGTTTAGGGTTTAGGGTTTAGGGTTCAGGGTTTAGGGTTTAGGGTTTAGAGGATTTTGGACTTATTCGGAGCTTCCAGGCGGGCCCACACCCGCCACACAATGGTGACATGAAAACCCTACTGCTGAAGACTTCTTGAGACGCGGGAAGACCCTAAACCCTAAACCCTACACCCTAAACCCTAAACCCTAAACCCTACACCCTAAACCCCAAACCCTAAACCCTAACCAGCAGCGACGTTGTCAGCCGGGAGACACAACGTCCGGGAGTTGCTCGGCGGCGCTGCTTCCTTGACTGCTCCAAACGACACAAAAAATGTGAATGGCAATTCAATTGCCCCAAAAAAGGACCCACCCCAAACATATATTAATAATTCTTTTATTGCCCTATATTGCCCTTGCAAGGAAGGATATGTTTATTTATTACTGTGGTATTCTTATTAGTATTCTTATTGGCAATTATACTTTCTATTATGATTATTATTAGCAGTAGTAGTCGTCGTAGTATTCTTATTACTATTCGAACTATATATCTATATATATATATGTATATATCTATTCATTCATCCTTTTTTTGGTGGGGGGGGGGGGGGGGGGAGTTCTTAAGTAATTAGTAACTGAGGCCCCGCAGTCGAGGTGTCAACTTGGGGGTCTGTCCAGGGCTCCTAAGCACCATTTGCACCCAGAGAGACCGGAAAAAAAACCTAATCTTAGGGTGGTTTAGGGTTTAGGGTTTAGGGTTTAGGGTTTAGGATCTAGGGTTTAGGGTTCCCTTAGTGTGGGCCCTTCTAAGGGCTTAGGGTTAGGGGTAGTTTCATGGTTCCTCAACATGGGCCCCTAGAAGGGGACCCTTTATATACCCCTTGTATACCCTGTAGCAACCTACTTAATCCCTGTTCCCCTGGGAAGAAAAAAGATCCTTTTTATAAGAAAGCCCATAACCCAAAAAGTAAAAAGGATCCCTAACACTGATCTAGCCTAGGGGCCCATAATTCAGCACCCTTTTAAGAGGTAAGGGACCATACTACAGGCCCATGCACCTATGTAGTGCCGCTTGGGTAGTATAGTCGAATCCCCTTACAAATCACGAACATAAATGAAAAAATGAAAAAAACTACGTTAGAGCCTGCAGATAGGCTTTAATATGATGGAAGGTACATTCTGAAATTAAGGGGTATTGGACACTCTGGGCTAGTCATAGCATGAGACATGGCTCATAGGACTAGATATATAGGTAGGTTTGTATAAGTATCCTCAAGTTATGTAAAGTAATAGCCAGATATGACTATAGAATACACACTATATATATATATATATATATAGATTCTCACATAGAGTAACTAGAGTTACACCGTGTAACGCTGCCCATGAACCTGAAGTCATTATGCGTAATTGTCCTGTGGACTTTCCCTTGCCGCCACATGCAGAAGGAGGACTTTAAGGCCTTGGGGGCTCTATCAGCGACCCTAAACCCTACACCATCACTCTTGTTCTGGGAGCCCGGGAGCCAGGACAAAGGCAAACATGAAGTTTTCGAAGGAGCTGCAGATTGCGAGACTCCGTTGTTTCGGATTTGTTGCAGATGGTTTGCTTTAGGCTGCAATAGTCTGTTCGCAAGCCTAAACCCTAAACCCTAAACCCTAAACCCTCAACCCTAAACCCTACTTAGTAGCCCAGTGACCATATTACAATAAGGGCGCCCTTTCTTGGGTTGGTTGCTTTATAGGGAACCTTGAACCCCGAAAAGGGAAAAGGGTACCACTTGGCTACCAAGCCTAAACCCTGGTAGGATGCTCCAGCCTCGTAGGACCTTGCAGCCGTGGTGCGTGTGCCTCCTTGTGCAGCTTCCTTAGTTGCTCCAGGCAGGCTTTTGCCAGGGCCATCGCCTCTTCGAAAATCTCGAACGAAGTACCCTCTCACCACCCTCGCATTACCCTCTCAAAAATGTGTGCCGCCGGTGGCCGATGGTTCTGCAGTTGTGGCACAAAAAAGTATCAGCGAATTAGAGGTCTAGGGCTTGGTGTTTGCAAGGTCTGCTGACCACGCACTGGGTGGTGAATTCAGGGCCACCCTAAACCCTAAACC